CGGGATTTAAGATGTACGTCTACTATTTGTTCAAAATGTGAAAAGGGGCAACCATATGCCCCTGTGGCTCTGGCGCCCCTGGTAAAGTTCGTTTCCAAAAAATATCTTTGCAGACGTACGCCAGGAAATGACGTTCACCAAAAAACATTAAACATTTAGACAAATCTCAAGGTAAAATGTCTTTCTATTTTTCCTCTGTGCCTTCTTTACTAATTTTTTGTTCTTTTGATATATTTAAGCGTCTTTCGATGTCAAAGTGTATGTCTATTGGAAATAAAGCTAAAATAACAATTTTTATGAAAAGGAGGCTTGAAGCCCCAAAATTTCCCGTATGACATCGTTTTTCGAAATCAACGCCCCAATATTGACAAAAAGTCTACTCAAGTAAACTCCCGCGTTGGGGGACGATAACATTTCTCCGCCTGGTCTATTTTTCTATACGCAATCGCTACATAAGTTTTAAACTTATATAAACTAAAAATTATAAACTAAACTTGCTTCACTTTTGTTGACCACACGGTAGACTGACCATGACGGTATACAAGGTATATATGAAGGTTTTTAAAAATTTGTCTAACTTCCAGAGAAATGCCTAAAAGCAGGACAACTTTAAAGACAAAAATTCACAGGGTTGTTTTTAGCTACCACCTTCATTAACCACTTTCATATACAACTGAAAATTTACGAACTGATAATAATCAACAAATTTCAGTTGTCGATAAATTATGGTTAATAAACTAAATCCATGTTAATCTTAACCCTTTTATAATCCGTAGATGGAGTCAAGAGAAGAAAGGAATAACTACTATATTCAGAAAATACTTTCAGATGTTGTTACGAAGGAACTTGTTGATTTATTTATCGAAGAGTGGAAGAATAATTACGGAGGATCCCTTGGATTATGGGATAATACAAAAGCTATTGGTCAGAAGTTGTTCAACATTGAAAAAACAAAAAAGAAACGTCATGACAAAAATATTGAAACAAAATTTCAAGATGGTGACACCAGTAAGTGGGATTGTACAACACTGTTTGCAGCAATATTGTATTCCAAATCAATTGGAACAAAACTTATAACAGCAAAAAGAGATGCAGTTGATGCAATTCGTATTGTAAGAAACAAATTAACCCATAATAATCAAGGAAGAGTATCTGATACCAAATTTGACAAAATGCTTTGTGATATTGAAAAGTCATTTAAAGATCTAAAATTTTCATTCACTGAAATTAATAAAATTAAATGTCAACGAAACAGATTTAATTCTTTTCAAGTACTTCCTTGCAAATCAAATCACGATGTGGTTAAACGTACAGAGTTACTTAATCAAATCACAGCAGATCTCAATAACTTGCGCAGTACTAACAATAATGAACTAACATATTACTATATTTCTGGTAATCCTGGCAGTGGTAAATCTCAATTGGCCAGACAAATTTGCGAAGAAATGTACAACTCGTTTGACTGGGAAAAAAATCCGACATTTGTGATGACACTCGAAGGAAAAGATATTGACTCTCTTTTGAAAACTTATGCTGAACTTTATCAACGATTAAGCAATGATAAAACTTTCATTAAAAATATTCGAAAAGAAGCAATAAGCAGCGAAGACAAAATCAAACGTTTTCAATTTTTGCTGACACAACAACTGAAATCCTGGCAAACATGGTGGATTGTTGTAGATAACGTGGTTGAACTTCATAAAATTTATCCATTATTACCTCAAATTGGTGATCATAGTTGGAAAAATGGTCAAATTATAGTAACTGTCCAAAATACAGATGCTATACCACCAGATGGAAATCTAAATAAACACATTTCAGTTAGTCATGGTATGAACAATAAAGAATGTCGAGAACTTCTATCTGTCTTTTCTGGAATTCATAATGAAGACGAAAATATTTTAATAGATTTATCTGACAAATTAAATCGTCAACCGTTGTTCCTGGCAAATGCTGCTTCCTACGTAGGTAGAGTAAAAAGTGTAAATCCGACATTCACCTGGGAGCAATATTTTGATAAGTTGAATGAAGGAGAGCGACAGAACATGGATGCCAATTTTCAAAAAATAAACACATCTTACTTAGGAATGAAAACTGTTATGTTAGCAGTACAAAAAAATGCCGAAGAATCCAACTTGTTGGAACATGTTTTTAAACTTTTCTCAATAATATCTTTCGATCCCTTACCACAAGATGTTATAATACTATTTATTAAAAGCATTGAGCCACAAAAATCTGCAGAAGATGTCCGTCTTCAATTAAAGCATTGTTCTTTATTCCTTCAAACGGAAAACAACGACATCCGCCTGCACAGCGTTGTACACGAAGCCATCATAAATTATTCATCGCAGACCTTTGGCTGTAAACAAAACGAAAATAATTCTAAAAAGTCTGCAACTGATCATGCCTGTCAAGTTGCTTGGGCACTAAATAATTTTGAAGACAGAGAAGATGAAATCAAAATAATTCCACATCTAATTAAATTCATAACAAATTCATCATTTCAACATTTCCTAAATAAGTTGATCGATGTAAAATATTTCTTTTTTTTCATTAGAATACAAAAACTTGATGAAAGAAATTGGAAATTTGCCAAATATTTTGTAGATGTTTTGGAAAGATTTTACAACTATAAACTTGCAACTAAAGTACTTTATGAAATAACAGAAATTCAAACTAAAGTCTTAGGTGTTGATCATATTGATGTTTCATATTCGTACAACGAGCTGGGTTCATTGCTTTGGAAGAATGGAGAATATGAAAATGCTAAAGATTTTCTCGAGCGAGCAATAAGAGTTCAAGCAAAAACATTTGGACCTGACCATTTAAATATTGCGACAACGTACAACAATCTGGGTTTGGTTTACGATAATATGGGAGAGTACGAAAAAGCAAAAGATTTTTATGAACGAGCGATAGAAATTCAAACAAAAACATTTGGACCTGACCATGTTAATATTGCGATAACGTACGGCAATCTGGGTTCGGTTTACAGAAAGATGGGAGAGTACGACAAAGCAAAAGATTTTTTTGAACGAGCGATAGAAATTGAAACGAAAACATTTGGACCTGAACATGTTAATATTGCGACAGCAAACAACAATCTGGGTTTGGTTTACAGTGATATGGGAGATTACAAAAAAGCAAAAGATTTTTATGAACGAGTGATAGAAATTCAAACAAAAACATTTGGACCTGACCATGTTAATATTGCAAAAGCTTACAACAATCTGGGTTTGGTTTACAGTGATATGGGAGATTACAAAAAAGCAAAAGATTTTTATGAACGAGCGATAGAAATTGAAACGAAAACATTTGGACCTGACCATGTTCATATTGCGACAAGGTACAACAATCTGGGTTCGGTTTACAGTAAAATGGGAGAGTACGAAAAAGCCAAAGATTTTTATGAACGAGCGATGGAAATTGAAACGAAAGCATTTGGACCTGACCATGTTAATATTGCGACAACGTACAACAATTTGGGTTTGGTTTGCCATAATATGGGAGAGTACGAAAAAGCAAAAGATTTTTATGAACGAGCGATGAAAATTGAAACAAAAACATTTGGACCTGAACATGTTAATATTGTGACAACGTACAACAATCTGGGTTTGGTTTACGAAAATATGGGAGAGTACGAAAAAGCAAAAGATTTTTATGAACGAGCAATTAAAATTGAAACAAAAACATTTGGACCTGACCATGTTAATATTGGGACAACGTACAACAATCTGGGTTTGGTTTACAGTAAAACGGGAGAGTACGAAAAAGCAAAAGATTTTTATGAACGATCGATAGAAATTCAAACAAAAACATTTGGACCTGACCATGTTAATATTGCGACAACGTACAACTGTCTGGGTGTAGTTTACAGTGATATGGGGGAGTACGAAAAAGCAAAAGATTTTTGTGAACGAGCGATTGAAATTAAAACAAAAACTGTTGGACCTGACAATGTTAATATTGCGAAAACGTACAACAATCTGGGTTTGGTTTACTATAATATGGGAGAGTACGAAAAAGCAAAAGATTTTTATGAACGAGCGATAGAAATTGAAACGAAAGCGTTTGGACCTGACCACGTTAATATTATAAATACGTACAACAATCTGGGTTTGGTTTACAATGATATGGGCGAGTACGAAAAAGCAAAAGATTTTTGTGAAAGAGCGATAGAAATTGTAACGAAAGTGTTTGGACCTGACCATGTTAATATTGTGACAACGTATAACAATCTGGGTTCGCTTTACAATAAAATGGGAGAGTACGAAAAAGCAAACGATTTTTATGAACGAGCAATAGAAATTGAAACGAAAGCATTTGGACCTGACCATGTTAATATTGCGATAACGTACAACAATCTGGGTTTGGTTTACTATGATATGGGAAAGTACGAAAAAGCAAAAGATTTTTATGAAAGAGCGATAGAAATTGAAACGAAAGTATTTGGATCTGAACATGTTAATATTGCGAAAATGTACATCAATCTGGGTTTTGTTTACTATAGAATGGTAGAGTACGATAAAGCAAAAGATTTTTATGAAAGAGCGATAGAAATTGAAACGAAAACATTTGGACCTGAACATGTTAATATTGCGAATACGTACAACAATCTGGGTTTGGTTTACTATGATATGGGAGAGTACGAAAAAGCAAAAGATTTTTATGAAAAAGCCATAGAAATTGAAACGAAAGCGTTTGGACCAGACCATGTTAATATTGCGAATACGTACAACAATCTGGGTTCGGTTTACAATAAAATGAGAGAGTACGAAAAAGCAAAAGATTTTTATGAACGAGCGATAAAAATTGAAACGAAAACATTTGGACCTGACCATGTTAATATTGCGCCAGCGTACAACAATCTGGGTTTGGTTTACAGTAAAATGGGAGAGTACGAAAAAGCAAAAGATTTTTATGAACGAGCGATGGAAATTGAAACGAAAGCATTTGGACCTGACCATGTTAATATTGCGAAAACGTACAACAATCTGGGTTTGGTGTACTATGATATGGGAGAGTACGAAAAAGCAAAAGATTTTTATGAAAGAGCGATAGAAATTGAAACGAAAGTATTTGGAAATGGACATGTTAATATTGCGAAAATGTACAACAATCTGGGTTTGGTTTACTATGATATGGGAGAGTACGAAAAAGCAAAAGATTTTTATGAACGAGCGTTAGAAATTGACACGAAAACATTTGGACCTGACCATGTTAATATTGCGATAAGGTACAACAAACTGGGTTTGGTTTACTATAATATGGGAGATTACGAAATAGCAAAAGATTTTTATGAAAGAGCCATAGAAATTAAAACAAAAGCGTTTGGACCTGACCATGTTAATATTGCGAAAACATACAACAATCTGGCTTTCGTTTACTATGATATGGGAGAGTACGAAAAAGCAAAAGATTTTTATGAAAGAGTGATAGAAATTGAAACGAAAGTATTTGGATCTGAACATGTTAATATTGCGTCAATGTACATCAATCTGGGTTTCGTTTACTATAGAATGGGAGAGTACGATAAAGCAAAAGATTTTTATGAAAGAGCGATAGAAATTGAAACGAAAACATTTGGACCTGAACATGTTAATATTGCGAATACGTACAACAATCTGTGTTTGGTTTACTATGATATGGGAGAGTACAAAAAAGCAAAAGATTTTTATGAAAGAGCCATAGAAATTGAAACGAAAACATTTGTACCTGACCATGTTAATTTTGCGAAAACGTACATTAATCTGGCTTTGGTTTACAGTGAAATGGGAGAGTACGAAGAAGCAAAAGATTTTTATGAACGAGCGATAGAAATTAAAACGAAAACATTTGTACTATGTATTAATGCGAAACGATACATTAATCTGGCTTTGGTTTACAGTGAAATGGGAGTACGAAAAAACAAAAGATTTTATGAACGAGCGATAGAAATTAAAACGAAAACATTTGTACCTGACCATGTTAATTTTGCGAAAACGTACATTAATCTGGCTTTGGTTTACAGTGAAATGGGAGAGTACGAAGAAGCAAAAGATTTTTATGAACGAGCGATAGAAATTAAAACGAAAACATTTGTACCTGACCATGTTAATTTTGCGAAAACGTACATTAATCTGGCTTTGGTTTACAGTGAAATGGGAGAGTACGAAAAAGCAAAAGATTTTTATGAACGAGCGATAGAAATTAAAACGAAAACATTTGTACCTGACCATGTTAATTTTGCGAAAACGTACAACAATCTGGGTTGGATTACAGTGAAATGAGAGAGTACGAAAAAGCAAAAGATTTTTATGAACGAGCGATAGAAATTAAAACGAAAACATTTGTACCTGACCATGTTAATATTGCGAAACGTACAATCAACTTTGGTTTAATGAAATGGGAGTACGAAACAAAAGATTTTATGATGAAACGATAGAAATTAAAACAAAACATTTGTACCTGACCATGTTAATTTTGCGAAAACGTACAACAATCTGGGTTGGATTACAGTGAAATGAGAGGAGAATACGAAAAGCAAAAGATTTTTATGAACGAGCGATAGAAAAAACAAAACATTTGACCTGACCATGTTAATTTGCGAAAACGTATAATCTGGCTTTGGTTTACAGTGAAATGGGAGAGTACGAACAAAAGATTTTATGAACGATAAAATTAAAACAAAACATTTGTACCTGACCATGTTAATTTGCGAAAACGTACAACAATCTGGTTTGGTTTGTGAAATGGGAGAGTACGAAAAAGCAAAAGATTTTTATGAACGAGCGATAGAAATTCAAACGAAAACATTTGGCCTGACATGTTTATATTGCGAAAACGTACAACAATCTGGCTGGTTTACAGTGAAATGGGAGGTAAAGGAAAAGATTTTATGAACGAGCGATAGAAATTAAAACGAAAACATTTGTACCTGACCATGTTAATTTTGCGAAAACGTACAACAATCTGGGTTTGGTTTAGTGAAATGGGAGGTACGAAAAGCAAAGATTTTTATGAACGAGCGATAGAAATTCAAACGAAAACATTTGTACCTGACCATGTTAATATTGCGAAAACGTACAACAATCTGGCTTTGGTTTACAGTGAAATGGGAGAGTACGAAAAAGGAAAAATTTTATGAACGAGCGATAGAAATTGAAACAAAGCATTTACCTGAACATGTACTGCAATAATATACAACAATCTTCATTTGGTTATAAACAAACTATAGATATTTAAACTGAAGCATTTAGACTTCTATTTATCTTTTATTTGCTACAAGATAAGATACTCGTCTTTGAGAAAACGTACAAGGAAAAAGAAGAAGAGGAAATGAATTTGTAGCTCATTTTCAATGAAGAAGAAATTCGATTTCTCTTTTCATTTTAGGTATGTCTTCTTTTTACTAAAGCTGATTAGAAACAGTTGTATTGTAGATTTCCTTTAACAAAGGTTCAAAGAACAACAGTTGTATATTTATAAAATATATTATTGACAATATTCAAACATTTGTATTTTCAAGTTTTCAACTTTCATTTATTTACTGGAACAGTTTTTATTAAGAAACTTGTATGGAACTATCAAAGTATATTTATGAGTTTAGTTTGCAATATCTAGCTATTGAGAAGTTGTGAAGTTCCTTAAAATGAATGTTGTTGGGTCATTTTCTTGTATAATGAGAGTAAATACTGATCTCACAGCAACCATGATCATGTAACATCCCTTTTTGAAATGCTGAAAAGCCCACAAGATTTGCTTTCTATGTAAGTATGAATACAGTCTTTTCTATATTCATTTCTATTCATTCATACAATTTACAAAATATACTTTCTATTTATGAGAATTGTAGTTTTTTGAAATGGACATGCAGTTATTGTTATTTGATTCAATCATACTTGATTTGGGGACTAACACCTTAATTGTTGTGACAATGTTTGTTTTTTTATTACTTTGGAGGAAATATTTATTTAATGATTGATTCAATAATACTTTTTATAGTTCAAACTATAAAGGCAATGTAAAGTAAAAGTTATAAATAACCTGAAGAAGAAAAAGCAGGATATCATTGCCATAGCATTGACAGAAGTGAAAATGACACATTTAACTTTCCGAATACTAGATTTTAGACTACCAAACTTACTAGTATATAAAACCCAGCAGTGGCGCAGGATACTTGTTAATTGGGGGGGGGGGGCACAAATTCATATTTGCATGTCTTAATCCGTTGAAAACAATGGATTTCAAAGGAACTTAATGTGGCAGAACATGAATATATAAAATGTGCCTCCTACCCAAAATAAAGAGTCTGCTATAACGTTTATTCCCTGGGTATCTTGAAGAGCTTTGGCATTGTGTGCAACAGTTAGTATTTCATTTTCCAAGGAACTTCTTCTTATTTTTCTCCAAAACATTATTTGAACATTACAGAAATTGTGTACAAACTAAAAAATGTTTATATTAGGAATATATTTCTAGAGCAACACCCTCCTTTAAAGTATGTATCCATGTTCAGGAGTGAATGACATGTCCAGACATTTTTGGCTAATGTCTTTATTACTGATATGGACAGTAATGAGTCATTTTCATTGCTATGACATTCATGTCTTGCTTTTGCTATAGTTTATACATTACATTGCTTTAAAACTGATTCTCTCAGCTACATAAATGATTTTACCACAAAATCACAATACAAAATGTTGTGGTTATCTCTGATACCAAGAAAATCAAATATAAATTAAAAATGAGATTTACTACATTTAAATGTAAGCAAAAAAAGAACATTGTCACAACAATTAAGGTGTAAATCCCCAACCATAAATAGAAAGAAATGTTGAATCAAGTAACCAAACTATTGACCTTCTCTCCACACACAATTCTTTTAAATACAAATTATATTTTACCATTTATCACAGTGAACAAAAAATTTGTATATTTACACAGCAAAGCCAGTGTTTGGGCTTTTTAGGAAGCACTATAAATTTTTCATGCAAATAATAAACATGTTAAGATTTTTCTTATTAAACAACAAAAAGAACCAAACAAACACTCCATTTAAACGTTTGCCTACAGAAATTGAAAATACAACTGTTGCTGGTCAGCTAAAGGAGAAAGAAAACATACCCAAAAGCCAGGGCTAACAACGAATCTTGTTCTTTGAAATGGAGCCACAAATTCATTCCTTTCTGTAAAGACAAAACACAATAAAAATCCTTTGTTGACAAGCGTTTTATAAATCTAGCATTGGTGACCACCTGACAATGTAATTTATCTTTATGTTTGTTTTAGGTAGTGATGTAGCCAAGAAAAATGGAGCTTTTACTCTGATTATGTGTGTCTGGCCCATATTTACTGTTGTCATCTCATATGTAGTGTAGTGAGTAACGAAAAAGTAATTGAACAACAAAATATTTATTTTCATAGCACTGGTAGACTTGCTATACGCTACGAGTTGTCATGGTGTTATTAAGGACTGAATTCTGATATCTTCCTTTGATTCTTATTTTTTATTTTCCGTAAATTATACACGTATTTAAAAATATACATTTAAGTTGATTTATCCAGAAACCCCACGGTCTGGGGATCTAAGTTCTTGATACAGGGTGTTTCAAAAAGGTAATCCAACTTTTACTTGCTGATGTGTGTAAATTACTGAATAAATAACTGTAGTTTTAAATATTTAAAAAGTTCTAGGTTCTAGCTATGGAATGCTATGTTGTTTGTTGCGATTTGGAAGGAAAATGAGTGAAATGCAAGCGCGTTGAAAAATTTTGGTCAAAGTCGCATTCTTTCACCTTTGAACATTTTTCCAACATGAAAGGTGCTTCACTTTGACTTTGCTGGTTTGTTGAATGACTATTACATAATTCATGGTGATGTCTCATTTTTCAACCTTGACAATATTTGAAATTATCTGACATTTACAATTTCCATGATTCAGCAAAAATTGATCCTCAAGGAGCCTTAATTAAACGTAGTTAAATACATAATAAATTAATAACTACATACGTATAATATAGAAGCTACAGTGCATTAAAAATCCCAGTTAAGAAACTTATTTTAATTACATTTATACCTCGTAGCGTGGAGATCAATCATTGCCGCTGAATCATGCAAATTTCAACCTATCGGCTGATTTCAAAGATGACCAGTTCTTTTGAGACATATTGCAAGATATTTCGATTACAAAAATTTGCAAAGATCATCAAGTGTACGCTCACTACACTGAAATCGATCGAGGTGTTTAACTACACTGTGAAGCATTTGGAAGAAACAAAAGCAAAAAGCATAGAGCACTGTTTTACCCGCTGTTAATCATGTTGTACAAGATTGTACTAATCAAGTTGGCGTAATTTTATTCATCTGTAAAGAAAATTAAATTGTGTAAAGTTACAATAGCTAAGTTAAACACCTGAGATAAACATAACTTTCTCATGAGTTTATTTTTTTGCTGTAAAAATCTTACCATCATAAATCCTTGTTTAAAAGTGACTTGTCTTTCGATCAATTGTCGAGACAAGAATCGTGATCTAAGAAAGAAAAATGCTCAGGAAAACGTTTTAAAACAGCCAAACGCCAATAAAGTGCATTTGACTTGGAGACACTGGAGATTGAAACGTTGCTAAAGAACAAAATCTTTTGATTTCCCATTCAAAGCTTGCCATGTAAACGGCCTGGTGGACTCACAATATATATACGTCTTGTAAAATTACTGTCAAAAACGATGAAGGAGGAAAAAGATACTTACCATCTCAATATTTCCTCAGTTACAAAGCAGTTCTGACAAAGTAGAATATCAATTCGTAAATAGCTCAGCCTCAAGGGAATGGTGAACAAAAGCCAAATACGTTTTCATCGTGGTCAATAATCAATTTCTTTATTTATATAAGTCCTCCATCATGGTGAATTAAAACCACAAACATTTGTTCTATGTTTCTCGATCGCATTAACAGAAAATGTTCATGTCTAAAATAAAGCAAAGAATTAACATTAACAAAAACGAAAACTTTATAAGAAGACGTATATTTAGGTCACACATTTTGCATAAAGATATTAATGTCGTTTACATTTCACACTTCAATCAAAGAGAGAGTTCTCTCCTAACACGAATATCAAAAATCACATTTACCTGAACATGTTATCGAAAAAGTCAAAGATATATTTCGCTTTCGGCAAATATTCTTCGTGTATGTAGGAAGGTAGAGTTTAAATAACGCAATGAAAGTTTGAGTTGATCTTAAAATGTTCCCCAAGTTGCGAAAAGCGTGTGTTTTCTGATTGGTCAGTTCTTAGGCATGTACTTGATTCTACATGGTACACAAGTAATAATGCCTTGCTAATCGCATCTCATTTCTTTATGTTTTGTTTTTTATGAGCGAACGCTTTAATTTTTAAGGTTTGCTTCCTGCGTAAAGCCTGGTTCACATATGACTGAGACATGAGTGAGGCATACCTGTGACGAGGCCTGTGACGAGGTTCTTAAGGCAAATGTAAAAACTCATCGCTGACACACTAATGATGTTTCAGGCAGTCGTAGGAGTTACCTGCAGTATACCGCCGAAATGCCGTAAGAGTTGAGTTGTGTTCAAGTTTCCTGAAATGTCGGCGGCTAAACGGCGGTGTACGGAACATATTTTTGTTATTTATGTTAAATGTGAACGCTTCTCAGATTTACTGGCGGCAATTTTTCCCATCATGCATTTGGGTAAAAAGATGTCGGATGAATTTTCAACACAAGACATGGAACCAAAAAAAGACTCAATGGAAAAATTCTGATCACTTTACGATAAAAATAAAAACTTATGGATACAATACAAAGCTATCGGGCTATTTAGGATAAATCGTGTCCAGAGTACAAAAATCAAAGAGTAAAATACAAATTATTCTCCTTTTTTCAAACCGGCTCTCCCATCTTTGATGTATTTTGAAATGACTTTTAAAAGGGCCGCATAATTTTCTAATAGTTTGCTATTTTCAAATTACGAAGCACTATTTTGTCAAATTCAAACTGCCGCTAAATTTTTGTGGTCAATCGGCGATTTGAATTATGTCATTGAAAAGCATCGAAGACGTGCCTCAGGTCTGCCTCAGCCACAAGATCAGAAAGCATCTCAGGCTTGCCTTAATAATGCCTCAGTCATGTCTCAGTCATATGTGAACCAGGCTTAAGAAGAAAATTCTTTATGTCGTTGTAAGGGTAAGGTTCTTTTCAAACGTCGCATTTTCCATGAACCAAATGCATTAATAACAAAAGAAAATGAGAAAAAAAACCTCGATATCTTTTGTTTTAAATGCATTCAGCTCATGTAAAATTCGACGTTTCAAACAGGCCTAAGATAAATAGTAAACTCAATGACATAAAAAGCACATAAAAAATGGCGGTATTTTCCGAAAACTTGAATATTCGTTAACCGCCTGAACGTACATTTCGACATTAATGTTTGTCATTCTTTAAAGTTTTCTGATGAGGAACAGGGCTAATTTTGAAAATATATAAGCAAATAACATAATGGTAAGGAAACATTATTTGCTTTTTAATTCATAGGTTAAAACGTTTTCAAAGGCAGTATTGAGAAATGTCTTCGACGAGGATCGGGCATCTCATTACTAAGATATAGTGTAATTTATATTTCCACTTTTTTATATTCCATTCCCAAATTTTATTAATTTAAACGTTTGTTTGTCCAGAGATTTGATAGTAGACACCAATGTTCGATAGACTAGTGAAACGCAGGCAATAGCGAGATGTTTTTGACATTATGCGGATACATAACATAGAAAATGTAAACAACAAAGTTGTAGTGGTTGTGTTGGCAAAACCTTGTTATGATGTTGTGTTTTGATACCCAACATTTTGTGTTCCCACCCATTTTTGTCAGATTATATCAATCATACTGGTATTTTGTAATTGTCAATCTTAAAAAAGCAAATCCTTACGTACTCATCGAGTGCCTATTTTTTAGAAATTATCATTGTATAAAGAATGTTTCAATGATACATCCAGTATAATTATTAAAAGGAAACTTGGAAATGTTATAAGCACATTAAACAAACAATTGTCGAATGCGTCAGCAACCAACCTGGTGAAACGGTAAATGATTGAAGAAATAAAAATTTTATTAACATGAAAGTTGTTTAAAAGTCACAATTTGTTATTCGGCTTATTTTGATATCTATGTTGCATGCTTCGTTGTTTGTCCGTCTATGCTTAATTAATCTTTTGATTGCATTTATGTGTCTGTTGATATCGAAAATAATGAGTTACAATGAAACAATGTTAGTGGTCCAAAGACAAAAGAATATTTTACCAATAATAGAAATGACATTGTTTAGTACATCCAAAGAAGTTAAGTCAATTGACAAACAAAACAAACAAACAAACAACATTTATATACCGGCCAGTATTAATCCCCATAAGAGGTTGACCATCCATGAATTTTCCACGCCACACATCTATCTCTCGCCATATCTCTCGTTATACCCATCGCCTTCATATCACTGTTCACAACATCCATCCATCTCTTTCTCGGTCTACCTCGTTTGCGGACTCCATCAACATTCATATGCAACGTTCGCAATTTCAGCACTTTCTTCCCTCCTTTCCACATGCCCAAACCACCTCAAACGCTGGCGTCTTACCCAATTCTCGATACACTCAACACCAACTCTTTCTCTAATCTCTTCACTTCGATCTATCCATCAACGTTACCACACATCATCCTAAGCATTCTCCTTTCCGTCGACGCCATCTTCCAGGTCCTCTTAAACGCCGCCTTAACCTCTCTGCTCATCTAAAACACTTCCACAATTCCTTCCTTCATTTCCATTCCACTGGCTCCTCCACCATCATTCCCATCCACCATATCCATTCCATCCATTCCATTCAATCCGGCTTCCTTCCACTAAACACGTCCACTCATCAGTTACTCTTGTCCAGCACACTGACATTTCTTCCATGAACCACCATTTCCACACATTATCAATTCCTCAACTCTTTCCCACACACCACATGGCCATTTATCCTTCCTTCACCTCCACCTGCCGAGCATCTCATGCCCTTCGTCTTTGCCTCATTCACTTTCAGTCCCTTGACTTCTATTGCCGTTTTCCATTCTCGGTACCATTCCAGAACTTTCTTCGACCTCCGCCACCAAGACAATGTCATCTGCATACAACAAACACCAGCATCCTTCTTTTCTTCTCACTTCCTCTGTCAGTACATCCATCCACAAACAAACAGTAACGGCGACAAGACCAGACGATGAACACCAACTTTTACCTCAAAACACCAGATCCACCTGGCACCTCCATGTTTCCCTCCACGTCTCACTGTTTCCATTCCACTCCATTCCATCCTTCCTCCATTCTGTCCTTCCATTCCTCTTCCTTCCTTCCCTCCATTCCAGTCCATCCACCTTCCATTTCCTTCTCCATCCATTCCATTCCTTCATTCCTCCTTTTCCTTCCATTCCATCCATCTTTCCATTCCTTCCATTCCATTTATCCATTTCACTACCCTCCATTCCATCCTTTCCTTTCTTCCTTCCTTGTCCTTCCCCTTCACTTCATTCCACTTCCTTCTCCATTCCACTCATTCTCTACATTCATCAAACGGTCACAGTACGCCCTCCACCTTCAACCTGTCTTCAATAACACCTTCCATCCGTGTTCCTGTTCGTTCCTCCTTCTTCATTCCTTTCTTTCTTCCATTCTCCATTTCTTTCCTTCCTTTCTTGAATCCAGATGTCCATTCAGTCCATTTCTCCATCTCCATCCATTCTTCCTTCCTTCCACTCCACTGTCCATTCTTTCCATCCATTCCTTCCTTCCACCCTCTTCATTCTCCAGTCCATTCTTTCTTCCTTCGTCCATCCACTTCCATCCTTCCGTTTCTCCTCTTCCATTCCTGTTATATAATCCACCCTACTGTCTTTTCAGTTCATACGTCACAAGCACTTTCTTCCTATAAACCACATTCACCATCCACAACTCCTTTAACTAACTCCATCGCCTTCCATTCCATATCACCAACTCCACCTCCATGCGCACAGTATCCCTTTCTTACGCTTCCCACATGACCGTTCCAATCACAAGCATCCACATCGCCCTCTAATGTCTGCTCTCACTGCATACACGCTGTCGTAGAACTTTTCCTTCTCCGCACTTCGTCCAACCTGCGGACACCACACCAACGAACTCACAACTTCGGCCTCAATAACTACATCAACTCTCAGGACTCTGTCCGAAACTCTCTTCTGCTACAACTGACTTCGCCCAATCCTCTCTTATCGCAAAGCCAACACCATTCGTGCCACTTCCGTTTCCCTTCCAAAACCACTTAAATCTCGCTCCATTATCTTCACCCTTTATGACTCTCGTACCTTCACCTTTAAACCTTACCTCCTGAAACCCACACACATCAACTTTCCTTCTCTTCAACATGTCCGCCACTTCTGCACTCCTTCCCTTCATTGTCCCAACGTTCACTGTGCCTACCCGAAGGGTGACACTTCCACAACCATTCGATCCGGAGATTCTTCGCACCCCCTGCCCACTGAAGGGCTGCCGGGGACTGGGGGCCATATCTTCTTTTCCAAAGTCCATGAATTTTGTTGGAGCAAAAGTTTTACGGTAGGATGCCCTTCCTTACACCAACCCCTTTTAGTCGTCTTTTACGACACGCAGAGGATACGTTGGCGCAATTCTAAGCCGGCAACCACACGGCAGAAGTTAAGTCAATTGAGCAAAAAAATATTTCTTGTGATCATTTATGTACATTTATACCTGTATTAGATGGCAATCTTTGATAGAATAGCGAAATGGTGATCCATTATGATCCATTATAAATAACTGAAACTCCAAAACCTTTTAGATTTGTGCTATAAAAATATGAATGTTTAAATAACAAAGTTTAACCAATGGTGGCCTAAAAAATCTCTGAAATTGTATAAACAAACGATAACTCGCCCCATTTCATCGTAATTGACCGTGCCCCGCAAACAATGAATTGATTGATTGAATCTATATTATATATTTACCTAAAAATATATTAATAAATAATAAAACAAATACATAAATGAATATATAGTATAGATACAATTAATCGATACAAAGTTTGCGGGGCACGGTCTGTTACAATGGAATGGGGCGAGTTATCGTTGGTTTATACAATTTAAGTGATTTTTTGGGCCGCCTTTGGTTTAACGTCACAAAGTTAAACCTATAACAAATGTGCTGCGCCAAGAAAATGCTCTAGTGAAAAATGTGAAATCTCTATTTCATCAAGATTTCAACGATGATAATATACCATCAACATTTGGTGGTTATATTGTTTACCTCCGACTGACTATAAATTTCTTCAATTGTTTATTGAAAGTCTCTTAATGTCATTCCATATTTCATATTTGTTTTTAACTTCTCTAGTTTAAACATAACAGGACATTCCAGTGATATACAGCTCAGTTGTTCATCTCTAGCTCCACAACACTGAAAACATATCTACAATATGAGAAAAAATTAAATGTCATGAAAAAGACAAACCATAATTATTAGGTTATTTCTGATGCATACCTCTTTAAGATGACTGTATTTTCTTTCCCAGTTCCCCACTCTACTTGCCAGAATAAAGACAGACTTTTGAGGGTTGCTACGACAACTTTGACACAAACCGTGCTGTGTTAATTGTTCACATACAGGACAGTGTAGAATTGTAAAAAACCGAGAAATCGAACGCTAAAATTTGTTCAAATAAATTAATTTAGCTTTTACACCAATTCATGAATGTACTTATGGCAACTAACTTTTTGTTTCCTTGCAATAACACGATGTCGAGGGATATAGCGGGGTAGTTGTGTATACCATGAAAACACATCAACACCAATCAAGGAAAAAACTCGATCCAATGGAGGAAGTATTTGTTTCTGAACACAGTAGATGTTATTGAGGTGTAGATTTTTATCATTTAACACATCAATAGAACTGAAGAAAATTAAAGCAAGAAGATTGTTTAATGAAGACAATCATATTTATACTAAAGTATTTATTAATAACATTCCAAGAGCTTTTGTCATGATACATAAAGTAAAATAATGAATCACTACCAATTGAATCAATGGTAGTCCAGGACTGGCGTTAACAATGACGTAATGTACAAGTTCTCCCACGCAAGGTTACGCGCGATGATCACGTGACAAATGACGTTTATACAAAAATAGAAATAGTAAAACTGTAATCATGATAACAATATAAAGAGGATTTTTCATTTCAACAATAAAATGAACCTTGCAATTTCCAAAGCTGGAACACATGCTTTTGGTTTATATCTTTTCATACCACGATATTCCTTAGCAAAGATGAAATCCTGAATCGATACTCTATCTTTCATCATTTTAACGAACTGCCGCTGGACAAACTTCTTCACAAGGCTCACGTCCCTTTCTTCCAATAAAATCCTTAAAGACTTCTCTAAAATCTGTTAGAAAAATAAAATCACAGACTGCTTTTAACTCAAAATTACCAGCCCCCCCCCCCACTTGCAGAATCTTGTGTGATTGGATGACCCAGTAAATATTGTCGATTGTTCCATACCTTAGCGACCGCTGGACATGTATCTCGCCGTACAGTCTCTATTCCTTTCGCATCAAACACTGGATCTTTCTGTTCTAATGTTTCGTACATATAACCAACGAAACGTTTCTTTGTTTGAAGAACACAAGGCATATATACCTAAAAATCATCCCTAGTTATACATAAATGTATCTTAAAGTCCAAATCTCTCAAATAGATACAATTTTACAGTAGATAAAAACCTTTTCAAACTTTAGTTTCACAGGTTTAGGATTCGCTGCAGTAACTGCATCAACAATTTCTTTTCCAATCTTAAACGCTTTCTCTTTACTGGCACCTTTTACTAATACGAAAAGACTATCGGTGTCCCCATATACCACACGACCACCCCACTCATCCCTTGTGTTCACGAGATTGATAGCTCGTTCCAGGGTCTCGCGTGCTTTACGAACATTGGCGTCAGCAATCTGATGAAAAACAGAAAAGAATATTCAGATGGTTTTATGAGTAAAATGAATCCAGTATGACAATAAGCACTTGATAGATTTTCAATCAGAGCATGTGACTTACAGGCTCACGATAATCATAATAATCACCATGCATCTATATTATATATATTATATATTTACCAATTATCTGTAGTAAATCAGTGTGCCAATTAACGCTGTGCAATGTGCAATTTGCACATCGTTTTAGCTAAAATGAAAACAATTACACATCACTTTTTCAAACGATATGCAAAAAACTTCATTATTGATTACCACCACATAAATTGAAAAAAGTTTCCAAGCTTAATCTTTACAGATCTTTACTTTATAAACGAGTGCGCTGCACGACATTAAAATCCATGTTGACACAATGTCATCAAATTCAAAGACGTTGTCACTTTGAGACTGGGAAGTCTGTCAACAGTCAACATACATGGTGCTTATATGTTTATGACAATAGGGGTGTAATACATTATTAATGTCAATTTTTACATTTGCGGTGTTTTGTAAACCGTTACGTACTGTTTTTGGCAATTAGCATCATAGCTATTTTGAGTATTTTCAGTAAAATCAGGAAACATTTTGATTTTGATTCTTAAAAGAAGACAAAAAAAAACTTAAATAAGTCAAATTTGAAAAATAAACCAAAGGGAATTTTGATTTTAAATAAGCCTAACGTGAGAAAAAGAAGCGAAATTTGGCTAAAATTTTTAAGCCAAACTGGCAACCTTGATCAGCCATACTTTTTGCTTTTACTACATATATTCACTACATTTTTGTTTTTTTACTCCATATATTTACCACACTGTAGTAAATATATGTAGTAAATATAAAGAAAAATACTCTAGATTGAAAATTAAACTCATAAACATACTGTGGAAATTCCATACAAGTCTCTCAATAAGAATCACTGCCACAGTATTTAAATGATAGTTGAAAAACTGGAAAATACAATTGTTTGTATGGAAATGGAATAACATATTTTACATTTATTATGTACAACAGTTTTTATTTGAACCTTTGAGGCTGTCATTGATATATGGAAATCTATACTACTATTTATCATTATCTTTTGATTGGAGAGATAAGAAAAAAGATCATGGTGAAATTGCTTGAAATGTTATTTAAAGTAACAAATAGAAAGATGATGATCAATAAGATAAAGGCTATCAATTATAAATGTAAATAAAAATGATCATCAAATCATTTGTTAACTATCATACTTGTCATACAAAGACTATAAAAATCAGGACGAACTTACTGCCAGCAATATCATTGTGTATTTTTCCATTAAATTTTTTTATTTTTTTCATTTTCTTTAATATGTTCAAGGATTTTTTGAGCGCGATGAAGACCACTAAAATAAGCACCGTGTACATAACCATTATACAACTCATCAGTAGCTTCTCCAGCAAAATACAAACGAGATACATTTGATTGTAGAACTTTGTAATCTTCATCACTAAATCCTATTGGATTATTTGAATAACAACCAGCAAACAAAGGATCAAATCTCCATCTGTAATAATAAATATCAATAGGATCTGGGATGTCCAAACCATAAACACTATGTAATATACTCATGATTTCTTCTTGTGTTTTCTGTTTACTTTGATATTGTATTCTTGTTGCTTCTTCACCAGTAACTGTGATAATAAGAATATTAATTCCTTGATCTTGTACACCAGCATCAATCTCAAGATCCTGCCACATAGGATAATACCCTCGTCTATCGCTTGCATAAAATATATACTGTTTTTCATCCCAAAATTTACGTGGAAACTTTAGGAATATTTTTATGTAATCAGCCATTTCGATCTTGTATATTGACTCAAGGAGTCTTGAAGGAAGGTCAGGTTTAAATCGAACAAATTCATTTTTTAACACTCCAATACTGAATGTAACAAGAAGATAATCTGCAGTATAAATCTCACCACTCTCAGTAAAGACTTGAACACCATTTTCACTCCATGATATGTGATTGACATGTTGACCAAATACTAACTTAGGAATGTCAGATTCATGCAGGAAAGATTGAGCAATTTCTTCAACTATTAGGGCATATCCTCGTGGGTCAAATACAAAATACTGAGTTCCATAATCGGAATCAATAATGCCAGTAGATTTCTTAACCCCAGTAGAAATATATTGTGGTTTTACACCAGCATCAAAATCTTCATAATAATATTCAAGTACTTCTTGAGCTGGATTTTGTGGATAGCAACCAGCAAGTCTTAAACCAGTACGCTCATCAATGTCAGTCATATTTGCTTTACGTCTCTCATCAATAATGTCACTTAGTAATTCACTTGCTTTCTCAAACTCTACACGACCGTCTTCATTGGTAACATCTTTACCAACTTGATCACGAACTATATAATAGCCAGGTTTAGGAACAGCCATTGTATAGTTCCCTTTGAGATTGTATTTTTTAGCTAATTCCCAAATAGGATTGTTCTTAGTGCCTTGAACCCAATTAGCACCGAGCTCAATTGTCGTATTTTGAAATGTTGTAGTTCTCATCCGCCCACCAACGCGATGCCAAGCTTCTAATATCGTAAAATCATTATACCAGCTTTGTAAAATGTTTCTGCAGCTTTTATCCCAGACATTCCAGCACCAAGAATCAATATTTTAGAGTGATGGACATTTTGCGTTTCTTTTATAGCTACAGTCAAGTTTGACAAAAAAACTCCAACTGTTAGAATCAGCTTTATTATTCCTTGGTAGAGCTTACACTGCGCCATGTTTTTCGTGGAAGTAAAAGAAAGTTCGGAGAAACTAGAAATGTCATCAGTTACGTCACTACAGAGGTCACGTGACAAACGAAAAGATAATATTTGAAAATCGGGCCGACAAATCGCTGTGTAAACATACCTTCACAGTGAACGAAGAAAATAATTTTAAAGATGTTTTCCACTAAAAATTATACTGCGCAAAAGATTCAATCACAAAATTTTTTGAATTACAAACAAAATAATTTTTACAAACATCTGAATTTAATTCACTAAAAAACAATAAAAAGTAAACAACTTCTTTTTTGTTATTTTTATTTTAACTCTAGGAAGGTGAAAATGACATTATTGTCGGATGTATTTTGTTTGCTATGGGCTATTCTCTCATTTGTTTTTTGCAATTTAAATTTAATTTGAAATGAAAATAGCACTTCACAGTTGGAAATTGATAAAACATCTAAAAAATTTTCCTATCACAAAGAAAATTTAAACGCAGTATTTGCAAGTCAAATCCTTCAAATACTTCCAATTTGCCAAAATCAAACGTCGTCAGAAGAGACTCAAGGAATGAATTTGTGAAAATATACGAGCAATAATGACGGACACAGGTAGGTTGTGTAGTTTAATATAAAACATAAAATACCATCTTAATGCCGACAGGATATTTCGTCGTAATTATAACTAAAGAAAGTATAAGATTACTGTGCTCATTATAATACATATGAGCTAAAATTTGATGGCGGTAATTGATATCTCGATCTACTGTATCACAAAATGCTTTTCAATTTTCATAAACCTTCGCTAAATGTAAACTACAGTTATCTTAACTGAGTTTTAGTTCATAGTTGTCGAGATTTTGTAAATTCAACTTAAAGAGAAACATATGCATCGAAGCGTGAGATATTTCTATCAATTTGAATGATTTTCTTGTCGGTCAAAAACATAGCGTCAAACGTTTAGTTCTTTCTTGTAAAGTTTATTCCTTATAGATTAAATAGATTAAACAGTCTTAACTTGCGAATGTGAAAAACAGAAACTCCATAAAAAAATCGATGTAACTGATTATTTTTGTTATGCTACATTATAAAGTCAGGTTTCTATATAAAATCAGTAACGTATAGCGACGATGTCGTTTATGTAGCAGAGAAAGGGAAAGTCTCATGACCATATGGAAACCAGACTAAAATTAAATAATTGTATTGTTTAGATGAAACTATTTGGTATGAAAAACCAATCACTCTCGTTGCATTTGCCGCTGGATTTCTGTTATTGATAATGGTGACTGCTGGCGTCAGAATGCTTTGTTTTTTAAGAAATAATGATGATGATGAAGGGATCAATGATGGATATTCCACATCATATTGGTATAATCATGGATCAACAAACTTATCCAAGGCACCTGATGTGTATGAGAATCCATCATATACATCAGTAGATGAGTATAACAGGAATCAATTTGCACCGCGACATTCTCGAGCACAAATTGTTACCATATCTGATGGGAATAATTATGGTTCACAAAATGGATTTCAAACATTTTATACCACGCCGTTGAACGAATCAAAAGCATAACAGTAAATTTTGTGTTTTCATGAATATTTATGTAGAGACAATGGTCTTATAAAGCGCTATACCACAATAAAATAATTCTGGTATAAATTTCAGTAAAAACACGACATGTACTAGATTAAACAATGGCACATTTATAAAATACCCTGAAACAAAGACAGTCAGAAAGAATCAGGACATGGTTATGATTAACAAAAGGTTATGCTTGGGTCAGGAGTACAGGTAGTTGAGTAAGTGGATGAAAAGGTATTCAATAATACATCCTGTTATTACTGTTACAATAGCTAGACTAAATATTGCAACAATAAAGTTTTAATGAACCATCAATCTACTACAATCAAAGATGTTTATATAATCCTTGTCTTTCCTACTCAAACTTTTTGTTTGTAAAAATATCAAAGGAGAAAATCTTTTGAATCCACTTAACTTTGTTTGTTCTACTTCAACAGATCTTTCACCTTGTTGGTAACTTTCTTTGTCTTCTTCTAACTCCAGTCCCCCTTCCTTAACAACAATCGTTACCAAAAAGCCCTACCTATTTCCTGACCCCTACTCCCTCTCCTGACTCCCCTCCTCCCCAACTCCCTACTCTTCCCTTACAGATAACCCCTACCTTCTTCCCAACCCTACTCTCCTTTCCCAGATAACCCCTTTCCTCTTCCTTAAACAGCCCCACTCCTCACAGCCCCCACTCCTTCCCTTAGATGCCAACCCCATCTCCTTCTTCCTAGATAACCCATTCCCTTCTTTATAGATAACCACTTAATTTTAAATGACTTTAATCTTTCCTTTTTAGATAACTTTTACTCTTCTAGATAATCCCTTTACTTCCTTACTCTGGAAGGATTCCCTAACTCTTCTTAGATAACTTTTATTTCTCTCTTTATAGATAACCTTTATTCCTTCAATTTATAGATAATTCTCTTCTTTTTAGATATAACTTCACTTCCACGAAGACGACTTTTATCTCCTTCCTTAGATAACTTTCTACCTTAAGACGATTCCTACTTTTTCCTTTAGAGATAACTCCTACTCACTCTAAAGATTTTACTTTCTCTTTACAGATAATACTCTTTCTTTTAGATAACCTTTCCTTTCCTTACAGACAACCCCTACTCCTCCTTTCCCCGACTGACCCCACCTCCTTCCCCACAGACACCAACTCCCACCTCTTCCCTAAAGACGACCCCACCTCCTTCCCAGACAACCCCACCTCCTTCCTTACAGACAACCCCTAACTCCTTCCTTACAGACAACCCCTACCTCCTTCCTTAAAGACGACCCCTACCTCCTTCCTTACAGACAACTCCTACCTCCTACCTTAAAGACGACCCCTTAACTCTACAGATAACCTCCTTTACCTTAAAGACTGACCCTTTAACTCCTTCCCATAGACAACCCTACCTCCTTCCTTTAAAGACGACTCCTACCTCCTTCCTTTACAGATAACTCCTACTCCTACCTTAAAGACGACTCCCTAACTCCTTCCTATAGACAACTCCTCTACCTCCTTTAAAGACGACCCCTACCTCCTTCCTTACAGACAACCCTACCTCCTTCCCTACAGACCACCCTTAACTCCTTCCTTACAGACAACCCCTACCTCTTTCCTAACAGACAACCCCTACCTCCTTCCATAGAGACAACCTTGAATAATATTATAATATTGGTTGTTAGACAAAAAAAGTTAAAGTATAAATCAATTGTTATTTTAAACGATAAAATACAAGATATGGCGAGTATAATTGTACTTTTTTCACAGTGTTTATATCATGGCAAATTATTTCCCAGGGGAAAAAACTTTCACTGCGCGATAAAAAATTTCATGGCAGAATTCAAAATACGAACATTCACGACCAAAAAAATTCAAACCGTTTTTATTGTTCAAGGAGATCGATCCCATCTCCATATAGTACCATCATCGCAAACACAAAGTAAAACACTGTAAAGAAATATTTAAAGAGGATTAAAAATATTTCATGGTTTATTCAAATCACTTCTCCTCGTAATTTCGGAAAGTTTGTTAAAGTCAAACCCATACAGGAAAACGACGAAAATTAATTGTCAAACACGCGTTGGAAATAGGCTCTTGGTTTGTAAATAAATGAAAAATATGCCACAAGGAAAAAAAATAGCAAAAATTCTTTGCGAAGTCAAAATTGTAGCAGAAAAAACATTTTGCTTTATCATTATGGAAATATTATTAATCTTTTTTCACATGCCTTCCTTGACTTTGAAAATATAATAATTTTACATGGGGTGAACAAGCAAATTTTTTTCCTGTGAGATAAAATATAAAATGTAAAATTTACCTTCCATCTTTACTAAATGATGTTTGTCGAACGGCTGCTGTACATTTAGGATGAGAGAGAACTTTCTGCCTGTGTGAAAATTAAACAAATAAAATTACATAAAAATCATGCATGTTATTACAAACTATTCAATGATCCAGCTATCATCCAGCCCGCAAATTTGGTCATACCATGTAAATTTTAGATCATTTTCATTATTCATTTCTTTTCAAAATCTATTGTTTTACAGTGAACACATAAAGATACTTACATAACATGACCATACTTGGCTACACCTCTGTGTGACCGTATATTTATAAGCTAACCAGATGTACGTATGCGTACCTATTTTTAATGTTTCGTGGCATTAAAAAGTTTGATTTCTCTAAACAGTCATGCTTTAAGCAGTACACACATCAATTTTTACTTTGCATCAGTAACGTAACCATCCGGCAAGTTTGGTCTGGTCATGTAATTGTTTCTTCACTCACTGTTAAAAAAATACATTTCTACACAAATTAATGATGTTTATGATGTGATATTCACAACGTGTGACCAAAACTTGTAGACAGGCTACACTGCTGATTAGTGGGTAGAAATCCCCTTTATAATCTAATAAAATATACGTACTGTCTATGATTTTAAACATTACACTTACACAACATCACAAGAATCATTGACATCAATATCCCAAATATAAATTTTTCCAACTTGATTTCCCAAAGCAAGAGTCTGTAAATCAAAAAACAACAGGTGTCAAAAGTGCAAACAAAGCATTCAAATATCCACTCTCCTCTGTAATACCCACTTTCCTCTGTAATACCCACTTTCCTCTGTAATAACCCAATTTCCCTCTGTAATCACCCACCTCCCTCCTGCACACCCACTCTCCCTGCACACCCACCTACCTTGCACACCCACCTACCTGTAACACCCACCTACCTGTAACACCCACCCCTACCTGCACACCCACCTTCTCTGTAATAACACCCACTCTACCTGTAATACCCACTCTACTCTGTAATACCAACTCTACCCTGTAATACCCACTCTTCTGTCTAATACCCACTCTACTCTGTAATACCCACTCTACTCTGTAATACCCACTCTCCTCTCTAATACTCACCCTCATTTCTAATCTTAACCCACCTCTCAAAGAGACACTGCTCCCTCTAATACTGACATAGTACTTTGTTTTACCTTATATGAATAGTCCATAGCAAAACGCATAAACCATATATCGCATTGTGAGTATTCGAATCTATCAAAAATCAATGATTTTATGATTGAGAATCACAAACTTAATGAAACAAAGAATTTTGATAAAAATTCTTACTTATGAAGAACTTTAATTGTGTTCATTTCGTCAGAAGGCTGTAAGGGAAGAAATATTGTTAATTATACGACAACTGCGTACAAACTCAAGATATGTAAGAAAACAGTGAAATGAAGGAAGGCTGTAGGAAAAGAAATATTGTTAATTATACGACAACTGCGTACAAACTCAAGATATGTAAGAAAACATTGAATTGAAGGAAGGCTGTAGGAGAAGAAATATTGTTAATTATACAAGAACTACAAACTCAAAAAACGAAAACACTGAGTTAGGTAAATTATAGATAAAACATACAGTAATGTAGGAAAACATAATTATGACATTGAACAGAATTTAAAACATTAGTCATCACAAGTTTACACCAAAAACAAAACAAGGGTAAAAATTTTACTAGAAAAACTCATCATACCTTGGCGAAAATTTCATCAAGTGATTTTTTAGGTTTCCAGCACACAATACAGTTTTCACAAGACTGCAAAACACGAGTGAATATGTAACATTACGTATACTGATAAGTGACGTCACGTGTATTGATAAGTGACGTCATGTGTATTGATAAGTGACGTCACTATATATTTCCATTACATTAAAACAATTAATAAAATGGGCAAGATTTGTCAGTAATTGAGGATTTCGTTGACACATAAACTGAATTGAATTTCCTAATGATGACGCTATTATTAAGGTAAATGCTTTCACTTGCATCTTCTAGGAAAGAATAACACCAAGTATCAAACTTTTTGAATAAAGTAAATAATTTGAACTCGGGAGTATCGTTATATGTTTGTAAATGATGATCGTCCAGGTTAATAAAGTCCTGAGAAGGACTGTTTTTGTTGTTGTTGACTGACGTTTCGACAACCTTAGCGGTAGTCATCTTCAGAGTCAAATGAGGAGTAAACGTCAGGTTAGCCGTATTTGTTATCTGGTTCTTACGACGTTGTATTGTGTGTACAGGAAATGTGTGGGTGTCAATTGTGTATTGCTGGTGTTTTTTCTTTTTCCTGTTCCAGGGTTGGATTTCACTCCTCTCGTTCATGTCAATAAAAAATAAATCCTGTGAAACTGTGTTGGCAGGAAAATAGAACTCATTTTGTAAGTGTTCTTTTTTCTACACGTATTTGCATGTTTTTTGTTTCGCTTTGTACGTTTTCAAAACTATTGCTATTCGCTTTATGAAGTTCGTTAACATTTGCGTAATTGTAAAGTATTGGACCACTGGTCCATTACGGCAGAGTAAAAGACTGGCATAAATGTTCTTGAACCAATCAAAGCGCGTTTCATGAAGAAACGCTTGGTATAAATAATGATGAAGGGAATAAGGATGAATACAATGGATTCATTGGGATATTAATGAATACAGTGGAACCAAAGGGATGTGGATGAATACAGATTAGATTTGGTGGGATTTTGATGAAACAGGGGGAATGAGACATAATTTGATAAATGAAACAAAATGAATTCATTGGTAAACATGATGATAAAATATTTTACCTTTGATAACAGAAGATCACCTAACCATCGAACACAATCAACATAATTTCTATGAATATCACGAGTTGTAAATTTTGGATAATGAATTTGTAAAGTTTTAAATGATTTTGTTGATTTGGTATTGCTGTAAACTGCTGCGTCTTCAATTGTCTAAAATAAAATAAAATAATCTTCATATTCATGTACATACATTGATATCAGACATGTTAACATTTTTCTCTAGGAATTCAAACAAACAGATGAATTCACACCTTTTTAACATTATCTTCATCAAGTGACCAAATCTTTAATGAATGATCCATTCCACAAGAAATGATTTTAGTTCCCAAAATATCAAAATCCTTGAGAAAAAAACTTGAAGAGATTAGAGAAAGAGTTGGTGTTGAGTGTATCGAGAATTGGGTAAGGCGCCAGCATTTGAGGTGGTTTGGACATGTGGAAAGGAGGGACGAAAGTGCTGAAATTCGTAGAATGTTGCATATGAATGTTGATGGAGTCCGCAAAACCAGGTAGACCAGAAAGAGATGGATGGATGCTGTGAACAGTGATAATGAAGGCGATGGGTATAACGAGATATGGCGAGATGAGACGCTTGGCAGAAAAGTTCATGGACCGGTCAACCCCCCTGGCGGGATTAATACTGGCCGGAATACAAATGTTGTTTGTTTGTTTGTTTGTTTTGAGAAAATAACTTCAGAAACTTAATACTTCAGAATTATGTCATCATTAAGCAAAAGTTTACTTTCATACTTACACAACTTAATACTTCATCTCTATGTCCTTCAACTCCAGCTAACATAAGAACACAAACTTCAGTGTGAACATTCCACAATCTAAGAGCATAATCTGGAAAGAAAACAAACGTTTGAACATACAATATTTACAATAATTCTCCTAGTCAAAAGGGAATTTTGAAAACTATTATTCACCTTTACTGACAGAGAGCAATAATTCTGGATCCAAAGGATGAAATTTCAACTCATTTACAGAGTTACCGTGACCTAAAAAATGCTTGAGATAAACAATTATTTAAACAAGGAGTTCCTTAAATAAAAAACATGACTTGAATTAATCTTACCTTGGAACATTGCATTGAAAATGCACTGTAAAGAAATACAAATTTCTTTGATTAAAATATTAAATGAAATGTATATATTACAAATCTAAGACAAGTTTACCTAATGATCCTAATAATCCCTCGTGATCCTGCAATAGCAAGGATAGGTTCTCCAGAATTGATAAGGACCGACCAGGCTGCAGTGTAGAAATTCTCTTCAGGCTGGGGGGAAGCAGTTAGGGTACAAATATTGAAATGAAGTATTTATTGAAGTTTTCAAAAGACTTTTGTCAACTAAAGGATACATCTGCATCAACATAGGCTTGAAGAAGCTTTATCTCTCCTTTATCACGACATTGATAAATGGATGCCTTCGTTGAAAGGAAAACAAGTTTACATTGCTGTTAGTTCTGACGATGTGCGATGGAACAATAAATGAAAGATCTTTATGAACTAAGACAGACAACTCACTCTGTTACAACCAACAGTAGCAAAAATAAGTGGATCTTCAGATTCTTCTTCAATATTATAGTTAAAAGTCACGCCAAACAAAGGTTGTTTGTGATCTTCCTAAACAAAGCAGACAAAGGTCCAGCACAACAGATACAAGTAAAAGTGATATATTGATATATTACTTTGTAAAAATGAGCTAGTCCTTTCTAACATTACACATTTAGCAAACCTTCAAGTAATTCGTAAAACGATATCTCAGCTTTCCCATTTTTTTTCCCTTTCGCGAATGTCCACCACGAGCTTTTCCAAAACCTCGTCCTGGTGTTGTATCATTGGACACGTTATTGCACTCAAAGAAAGAGTCAGCATCGCTACATTGTTCGTCATTCTTTATGGTTTCAACTTCACCGGTAATCCTTACTTCTTCACAACCATGTTGATGACTATCTTCGTTGATATGAAATGTTTCTTGCTCGTGGTTTTCTTCATTTTTTATAAATTCACCTTTTCCCGCTTCTCTTTCGTCGGCCATATTGAAACTGATCTCTGTACGTTTTAATACAACTGGACCAGTAATCTAAAGTAAAAGTTGAAGGTGAAATGTAACGGAAATATAAAATCTAACAGAAAATGGAAAAGCTTGGTGATAATGTACCTAATAATGAAAATTCCTCGGATGATTTCATTCCTACCAACAGTTCAAGTGGTAAGTTACGGCACAAATTTCTTTTCATAATATAGTTCACCTCTTACATGTTTTTATTTATACAATTTCTTTCTTTATACCATAAGTGGACTCTACGGCAGAAGTGGAAATAGACGACGTCAAGAACTGTTTTGACTGTAAAAGGACGTTTAAATCTTGTACCTGCAAAGTTAGCATTTTTTGTGACGATTTATGAGTGAGATTTTGTTAAATTAATGAAGATATATTTGTTTTATGCAATGTTTTTCAGTCTTGTGCCAAATGTGGAGCTGTCTTTCTTAGATATTGGGGGACACCTATTGTTAAAGGAAGGTATGTAATACCACATATATACAGTTATCAAACTATATACCTGCAAGTTCATAATATGAACCTTCTCATTCCCTTATATCAACAGTCAACACCACTAGTTTTTGGAAGTTGTAAATAAAGTCTTCTTTTCTTTCGAATTCTGTCAACTTCCTTTTGAAAACATTGTAAATTAGTGGGTACAATGTAGATAAACTTATTGCTGCAACTTGCCAATACCAGCCAACCCTATCCCATAATTCATTGGTGTCTTAACTTTACCGCAACATAGATCCCATTGTCGTATCTGTGGTGCTGCAGTTTGTATAACATGTCATGTGTTGATTTATGACACCTTCAAGATATGCACTCGATGTCACATTAAACTAAAGGAAGAAGAACTTAGTACTCAAATGGCGTTGTCAGCCATTGCTAAAGGCAATAGCAATGATTATTTTACAATAAACACCTTTGGTATCACTGATACAAATCTGAACAACAAAGAAAAAAGAAATGAAATCTTGATTAATGCATCAAAGAAAGGTATTTACGTACAACTGTACATGAAAGTACACAATTGTATTGTCACTACATTATAATCCATAACAATGTTTGATATTTTAAGTTTGTCGTGGTACAAAATACTTCACATAATATAGTAGAGCGTGGACATATTTTATGGGTGTTGCAGGGGGGTGTCACCTCCCAAACATCAGATTTCACCCTCTTAAATAAATTGCTTAATGCTCACCCCTCTAAAAAAGCAACTCACCCCCGATTTTTAACTAAACAAATCATTAGTTCAGTTGAAGTGCATTTTTCTAGGCAATGTTTCATGTCTAAAATCCTTACTCCCTTCCTTTGTCTTATGTATCTGTGGTCTGAGGTCACTCCTTACCAAATCACCCCTCCCCCCTAAAATTTTTAACACCACCCCTGTGGAGTGGTGACCTTGTCATTATTCACTTCAGTAAAAGATGTTTATTTAATAAGCTAGGTGACCATCATGTCCTGTCGACACTAATAAGTACTGGAGCTGATGTGAATTATGTGGATAACCATGGCAACACGTCATTGTTCTATGCAGCATCTCGAGCATATCTACCGTGTGTGGCATTGCTTATTGTAAGTAAAATGTTGATGTTGTTTATTTGAGTGGCATTACTTTCTATTGTAAGTAAATGTTGATGTTGTTTATTTAAGTGTGGCATTGCTTATTGTAAGAAAATGTTGATGTTGTTTTATCTAAGTGGCATTTTATTGTAAGCAAAATGTTTATGTTGTTTATCTAAGTGGCATTGCTTATCAGGCAAAATGTTTATGTTGTTTATTTAATGTGGCATTGCTTATTGTACAGTAAAATCGTTTATGTTATTTATTACGCGGCATGCTTTACCAAAGTAAAACGTTGATGTTGTTTATCTATGCGGCATCATTTATCAGGCAAAACGTTTACGTTGTTTATTTGCTGTGGCATTGTTTCATAAGCAAATGTCGATGTTGTTTATCATGGCATTGTTTATTGTAAGTAAAATGTTGATGCTGGTTTATTTATGTGCAATTGCTTATCAGGTAAAATGTTTATGTTGTTTATTTAAGTGTGGCATTGCTTATTGTAAGTAAAATGTTGATGTTGTTTATTTAAGTGTGGCATTGCTTATTGTAAGTAAAATGTTTATGTTGTTTATTTAAGTGTGGCATTGCTTATTGTAAGTAAAATGTTGATGTTGTTTATTTAAGTGTGGCATTGCTTATTGTAAGTAAAATGTTGATGTTGTTTATTTAAATGTGGCATTGCTTATTGTAAGTAAAATGTTGATGTTGTTTATTTAAAGTATCTTTATATGCAAAAATTTTTATTGGTGATATTAAAACTAGGTGCCACATCTAGCCCACCTGTGAAAAAATTTTTTTTTTTGGTGAAAATGGTTGCATGTGAAGTGACAAAAATACCATTTCTAATGGACCTTGTTCGTTGTTGAGGAAGTCTCGAACTACTACTGGGAACGACTTGTTTATGTGACGTCATTCACGAAACTCGTCAATTCAATATATATATATATATATACAAAGTGTATAATAATGTGCCCTCCCGGCTATCACCATATTAAAATGGTGACTCCTGCACTTGGGACACAGGATGTAGGTTACACATTGTATGGATTGTATTGTAGAGTCAGCAGAGACTTCCTAGATATATATATATATATTCATAGGAAGTTTTTAAGTGATGATTCTCCATATAAAACAGTGCTCGATGCCCGAGAGCAGAGCGTAAATCCCCTGAAGAGTGAGAAATCACGAAAAAGGCTTGTCGAGATGAATCTGTAGTTTTCGTGATTTTTTTCAACATCGCTACATATATAAATATATACCAACTGCCTTGGATGACGTCAAAGTGCCTTGGATGACGTCAAAACAAGGCTCGATGCAGACAACATGCCATGACAGACGAGGTTCATTGAAAGCAATATATCACTGATGTGTTAAAAATTTCCTATATTTTTAATGTCGTAAAAAAGTTTTGCTGGTTTGGGTTAGAAACATTTCCACATCTCACTTTCATCAACATTTTTCTTCTACTTTAAACAGGAGAAAGGAGCCGACTGTACACTTACAAATAAGGTGATTGTTTTTGTTCTAAGAATATTTTATTGTTGTTTCGATGTATCAAATTTTCGTGTTGTTTTTCTGTTTCTTTAGCACGGTTGGACGCCTTTACATTTCCTGGCATTGTCGTAAGTTATTGATAATGACGTACAGTACCGACCTCGAGTAACATGACATGACTCGCGAGTATCGAGTGGCGAGTGGGCGAGTGACTCGCGAGTCAATTGCGAGTGACTCGCGAGTGACGAGTGGCGAGTGGGCGAGTGACTCGCGAGTCAATTGCGAGTCACTCTCGAGTGTGAGAAGTTTGCGAGTGAATAAGTGACTCGCTGTTTGCGAGTGAATAAAATATCTCGCAAAAATTTCCGACAACGATTTTTCATTTGAAGCAATATCTCGGTACCTAATGACGTTAAAATCTTTTGAATTTTTTACAAAAGCATTTTAATAACTTCACATTTCTCATGGCAAGTGAATCGCAAAAGCTATCATCTAGCCATTAACTATACACGTGGTTTTATTTCATTGATTGCTATTAAATGTCTATGGCCTTTATCAATATCGTCTGTGTAACACATCGAAAACGTGAAGTCAATGAAGTTCTTTCAGAACCAAATTTAAAAGATTATACGCACACTCATCTCATAGCTACATTCCTTAAATATTTGACCTCAAACAATATTCGTTTTTGAATGTATTCTATCTTAACATAATATATGTCAACAATCTAAGACTGTTAGAAGAAAATCTTTGAGAGTTACTTTGATTTTCTCACTAATTTCTCTATGGTCTCTACCGCTTTACGAATAACGTTGGTGCCTTGAGAAATGTGAAGTTATTAAAATGCTTTTCTAAAAAAATTCAAAAGATTTTAACGTCATTAGGTACCGAGATATTGCTTCAAATGAATAGTCGTTGTCGGAAATTTTTGCGAGATATTTTATTCACTCGCAAACAGCGAGTCACTTATTCACTCGCAAACTTCTCACACTCGAGAGTGACTCGCAATTGACTCGCGAGTCACTCGCCCACTCGCCACTCGTCACTCGCGAGTCACTCGCAATTGACTCGCGAGTCACTCGCCCACTCGCCACTCGATACTCGCGAGTCATGTCATGTTACTCGAGGTCGGTACTGTATTTTTGACTCTTATGATATAGCTACACTGAATGATTTATTTGTAGCAATGGGAAAGATGAGAGTGTTCTTGAATGTGCTGATCTTTTGATTCAGGTGACTTTGAAATGATTTTGAAAATGTTCTTTGATGTCATAAATGATTTATGCAGTTATAAAATAATTTAGATGGGAACTCAAGTATTTGCTCTGACAGAACATGGCGAGACTGCTGGTGATATTGCTGAACAAAATGAAGAAAACAGATTGTTGTTGAAAATCCTTCGTGCTGCTGAGGGTACAGTATTGATACTATAGAAGTCCCAAACACTGTGACTGTTGGTTGAAATGACGTTGAAATATAGTTTTAAAGCAAATTCAGCGTTACACCTCTTATCAAACTTCAAAATTATCTTTCATGATTCTTGTTACTCGTTTTATGTACCACGTGTTGTGGCGCTATTACCCTCTTTATCACCGTTTACCACTACTTTTTATGAAATTTATATCCATAACAACCCTTCACCATATCTTCATACACCACCACCCAGCCCAACACTGCTTTCTTACCGGTCAAATATTTCCATTCATGTTATCAATGATAGCCAAGTTTATATCTTACTATCCCCTACGATCCCCTCGTTTCTTATCTTTTATTTTCTTAAAGTTGAAGAAGCTGTTCAAGTACTCTCATCAAAAACAACTCTGGCAGGTTGACTTCATGTTAGATATCTATCTGATAGTTTAATTTTTCTTGTATGTCCGCGGGGACAATGTCTTTAACGATTGTTTTTAATTTGATTTATTTTTTCAGATCTTGGTAAAGATCTTAAGATTTGGAAATATTTAAAAACGTTACTAAATGTCGTCACAGCTGTTCAAGGGAGTCGAAAAGATGATAGTGGTTTGTGTGAACATTGTTAGTCAAGAAAACTCTCTTGGTTTAGTGTATAGAATTATTAACGATCTTTCCATATGTTGTACAAAAATGCAAGTGTTTTTGGTCCGTTTTTACCCCGGATGTTTTTGTAATAATTTATTAACTGTGGAAGACGAAATGACTGCACAACGACAACATCCAAAAACTGTGGAAGACAAAATGACTGCACAACGACAACATCCAAAAACTGTGGAAGACAAAATGACTGCACAACGACAACATCCAAAAACTGTGGAAAACAAAATGACTGCACAACGACAACATCCAAAAACTGTGGAAAACAAAATGACTGCACAACGACAACATCCAAAAACTGTGGAAAACAAAATGACTGCACAACGACAACATCCAAAAACTGTGGAAGACAAAATGACTGCACAACGACAACATCCAAAAACAGTCTGAGAGATTTTTGTTGTCTCATTTAGCAATTACATCAAAATCAACTGAAGACCTGCATTCAAATCCTACAATTCTGGCGCAGAAAACAAAGTCATTTGCCAGAGTAAGATAATCTTGACAAAATGATGTAAATTTTTATACTGCAAAACAATTTTTGCTTTATTGTAGTTATGCAACAATGTAATTCAAAGTTTCTGTACTGTGTTAATTTTAACGTTTCTATCCTAAATTCTAAGTTCTTACATTGTCGTATGCAGATTTTCTCCTATTCAAAACCGTCACAAGAAGTTTGTAAGATGTGTAGTACGTCTAAACGAGATCCTCTGGAACCTGTCATTAACAATCATCATATAATGGAGTCTTCCAATACGGTAAAATTTATTAATTACTTTTAAGTCTTTGTTGATGTAAATTTCCTCTTAATGGGAATTTCATTTTATGTTGTCATTTCGAATTCATCTTTTATTTATAACTAGTTGCAGTTTTACAGCTTTTCTTTCATATAGATTAAAGATGAACTCGAGAAATGTCAGAAAGAAAGAGATGAACTTGAGATTCAGTGTAAAAAACTAATGAAGTCCATCGGTACGGCAGTTCATGAAAGAGAGGTTAGTTATGTTGATGTTGGAGAAGTGTAAATGACAACGTTTGCCCTAACTATTGTTTGAAAAAATATATTGACGTTAAACATGCCTATTCTTGCATTAAAACACGCGTGTTTGAAAAGAAAGTCTGTGTTTAGCTCATTTTCACCTTGCGCACGGAAAGACTGGGAATGTTAAAAATTAGTGCAGGATTTCAAATTTTGGCGGGAGGTGAGAAAGCCTTCTGGTTATTCAAGAATTTCAGTTCAAATGTGTAGAAAATAGCAAATTTTTATGAATTGTACGTTATTAAATTGTCGCGAGAGATATCGGATGATAAGTTTGTTTATTGAGCGAGTTTGTCTTTTTTTTTAGAAACAAAAAGAAAAGATAGTTTGCCTTGAAACAAAGTTAAACAACTTTTTGAAAGAAAAGGAGATGGCCATACAGCGTTGTGAAGCAATGTTTGAAAATAAACTGACCAAAATCAAACACGAAGCAGAGTTTGACAGAAACGAGGTGATAACTAAAACGTTTCACCCTCCCCCCTCCAACGTTTATATATTTTCACTTAACTTCTTAGTGAGGAGAATTTTAGTTATCGTGTGTTTTCATAAAGGATAAACCTTCTATAATATAATTATAAATATTTTGTTATCTTTTGAAAAAGTTGTTGTTGAAGAAATGTATTTATTTCATTTTAATTATTTCAGTCAAATAAACGAATTAAGAAACTTGAAGAAGATTACGAAGATCTTTATCATCTTCAATCTGTTTATAAACTTACATGGATACCCGACAAAGTAAGGGCTGGGAGTGTTGGACCTTGTAGTTTATTGAGGGATTGCATGGAATATAATGTAGTATTAAGGGATTAGAAGGGATCACCTTAGTATTAAACAATAGAAGAAAAATGAGCCGATGATTTCAGATGGTATTGATAGTTTGGAAAATGCATGACTGTAAAGTATGATGTAGTGTATTTATTTAGTGATTTTGAAAAAGATAAAATTTCTCACAAGACGTTCAAACAAAACAGGAAGATCGTTGACATATTTTTTACAATTTTTCTTTTCCTTTCTATAGATAGTATCCCTATGTATGAATTCTAAATGTAGAGCTCCATTTACAAAGGTATTTTATAATCATGTTCTAAATGACCTGTCTATTTGGAGCTGAATAACTAACAAAACATAGTTGAATTTATGTGTGATTGATAATGAATTGTAACATGCTTGTAAATGTAGATCGTCCAGGTTGGTATAGTCCTGAGAAGGACTGTTTTTGTTGTTGTTGACTGACGTTTCGACAACCTTAGCGGTAGTCATCTTCAGAGTCGAAATGACGTCTTCTTCTGACGTCAAAAAATGATGTAATTCTTGATTATTGAGGAAGTTCAATTATACATTACAGTATGTAAAGTCATTACAGTTTGCAGTTTGTAAATGTAGATCGTCCAGTCAAATTTGACTCTGAAGATGACTACCGCTAAGGTTGTCGAAACGTCAGTCAACAACAACAAAAACAGTCCTTCTCAGGACTATACCAACCTGGACGATCTGCATTTACAAACATGTAACGATACTCCCGGGTTCAAACCATTTACTTTAATGAATTGTAATATGTTTTTGATTGCTGTTTTTTGTATCAAAGAACGTCTATCGCTCAACAACATTTCCTATTTTATAAATTCATTACTTTTGATATTCTAGACAAGAAGACGCCATCATTGTCGATGTTGCGGACGAATATTCTGTACAAATTGCGCATCACAACTGCTGCCGTAAGTTAAACAAAATGTTTGATTTATGTTTATATTTCGTTGATTGTAAATGGTAAAATTTTGTTTTAGGATTGAAGCATTAGGTTATGTTAACCCAGTTCGTATTTGTAATCAATGCTTTGCGTTACTTGACGAGACTTTTGTCGAGGTAAATTATCCCGATGACGTAATGATTAATTAAACAGAAATCGACCTATATTTTTATCGTAAATGTAATTAATGTATAACCTAAAAAAATTGCTACAAAAAAAGAAATATTATATATAGACTTTGCTTTATAATGCTACACCAACAGTTTTATTTCTGATGGTATTTTGTTAGAAAAGTTTTACAATTATACCATACTTACCAAGCGTCCTAGTTGTTTCAAATTTATCTTCAATTTTCTCCATCGGAGCTCATTTAATTTTTAGAATTGACGATGATTGTTTATATCATTCAATCGAAGCTCGAACCAAAGACAATTGAAAATCTTCTAAGATTAGAAGTACTTTTGTCCGAACCGAGTCTTCTTCGAAATACAGGTTCATTAAAATCTGGAAAATAATCTGTGTCTTCTTCAAAAATCGCGTCGGCTGCAGCTTGGAATACCAAATTAACATTCCATCTTGTCTTTGCACAACATTCCACGTATGATCTTGCTCTGATTCTTTTGCTTACTGACTCTGCCTAAACGAATATTTTATTACGCGTGTTGAGATTTCCTGACTCAAGTTTTTCCTTCATAAATCTAAATCTGTCATCTTTCCCTTCATCGTTTATGTTTGAAGACATGCAGCTATAGCGTGGACTATAAAACAGCTTCTTTAACTTATTAAAGTGTTGGTCAGAGAGATGGCGGTCTGGAAAAATTGCCACTTTGAAAGAATGTCTTCAACAAAAGAACGATGAATTACCTTAATTTTTGAGACACTATCCTGACAATCTTTATTTTCTAACGCAGATTCCGTTCGAAGATCATTTTTACAACCAATCAGTAAAAAAGGAATGTGTGGATGTTCTTGTTTGATTTCATTTGACCACTGCATGAAGAATAAACAAATATTTCAAATTGTTATTTGAAAAAAATCTTTGAAGAGTGTCATTTGCATTTTTGACCGAAAGAACTGTAGTCGAAAATAGTGAATAACCTCTTGGTGTTAATGTTGACTGACGTTTCAACAATTATTTCATTTTACCTTAGTTATAACACTTTCTAAAGAGCTTGGACTGCCAATGTCAAAGCAAACAAGAAAGACGTCAGTTCCTTCATAAAGTTCGTAACGAAAACTGCTGTAGTCATCCATACCTTAACGTAAAATTGTAGCCATGGTGATTTTCGTAAGCATTTGAACTTGTTGTCGTCTTTATTTACCTGTTATTTCATATAAAGTAAATTCAATATGGTTTTCACTTGTATCAATGTCCTGAACACACTCATCGAATGACGAAAGATGTGAATCTTCGACCTGAAATGTACAATTTTTACCATCAATGCAAATGTTGATAATAGCTTTAAAGCTGTATAAGTTTAACCTCAAAATTTGAAGTTTTAACCAACGCATTAAGTAATGCTGTTTTTCCACATCCTTCGTCTCCTAAAACCACCAACTTATATCGCTCTTTTGACACAACTTCTTGAGCATCTTTCGTTTGCATCTAAAGATGTAAAGAAGACAATAACGTTGGTGTATTTAGGACTAAAATAGATCAAAATTGCAACTTATACTTTATCAACAGCCATCTTTGAAAAATTGGAAGTCGTTTCTCCCTCTTTAACAGCTTGTGAAATTTCGTTTCTTGTTTGTGCTGACGCCAGTTTTACATACAATAGCAATGCAAATTTTCTTGTTAACTCAAAGAAACCGTCTTTTATTTTAAATAGATTTTAAACGCAAGAGAACTTAGGAGATCATACTAATTAACATCTTGATCACTTTAACACGAGATAGTCATAAGTTATAAACGTGATTGTTTCAAAGGGATATTATTTCTCTTCGCAGCTTCTCTTTAATTCAAGGTTATTACTATTTCATTTATACTTAGATGTTAAAAGACAGATAAAAAAAAACTTTATTTCATCAAAAGAGTTAGGTCAACACACAATACTTTATGTCAAAAACAATCGGATCAAATCCTTCTGCAGATGAATAAGTGAAAAAGTCAAAGTGATAAAAAATTTAAAATGACGGATATTAAAACATTTCATTCACACAACAAAATAAAATGACAATAATTTAGCTTGTGAATTTTTGTCAGTAGGTCATTTTGTTTTAATTTAACACCGGGAGACGCGGGGAGGCTTTTATTCCACATGATAAATTTATTTTTAGTCGTAGAGGCGAAACTTTTATGGTTTATTTTATCTTCGTCCTGAACTTTTTTATTAATATTTCTTCTGCCATTTCACTTTAAACGTCACGAGTTAATTTAAATTTCACATCAACCCACCTAAATTTTCAATTTAAAATTCAACAATCCATTTCCTCAACGAACAGATTTTTCCTGTTCAATATATTTACAAGTTTGAAATAAAAACAAAAAACATGCAAAATTACAGTAATATTAAATTTTTTTTTAACATTTTCAACTGTATTTCATACTATCATTGTTTAGTGGTAAAAAGGATTATGGATAGACTATTTATTTACAAATAACCTTAAAGAAGTTTGCTCGTGTGTCTTATACTTTAGGTTGGATGAAATAGCATGTGTCGCGAACGTTAGTCCCAGTACTTTATCAAACCATCCCAACCACACGTGGCAACTTTAGATGTTTCATGTGGGTGCCACGTGTGTCTTATACTTAAGGTTTGATGAAATAGCATGTGTCGCGAACGTTAGTCCCAGTACTTTATTAAACCATCCCAACCACACGTGGCAACTTTAGATGTTTCATGTGGGTGCCACGCACAACCGATACAAACAGCATCATGAGCTTTAAATTTACTGAAGAAAATAGATGAAGTCTCGTAAATCATTAGTTTTTAAATCATAAGATACATTTTACGACAACATTTATAAGTTTACCTGTATAATTTGGTTGATTTCCAGTCCCATATGAAAAGCTTACCATCGGCATCACCAGATATAACATACCTAAATAAGAGAGAAAAACATGTAAATAAAATTTTTACGTAAAGGATCTGAAATATAAAATTATCTTGTCCTCAATATCAATATACGTAGCAACATAGATACAAAACATTATATTGTTAAAAAGATGACCACACAATGTAGTTTTCTATTTTATTTTCATGTTATTCGTGAATGAAATATTTCTATATACATATAAAGTCCGTTTGTCAACTCACCTTCCATCAGGAGAGAAGTTTACTTGACATGCGTAACCAGCAACCATGTGACCTTTAAATGTTTTCTTTCGATTCAATCGAAAGCGGTTTTGAATACCAAAAATCATGATTTGATTATCCATCGATTGACATGCCAACCATTTCTCTAAGAGAAATATAATTATAACCACGTGACAACAATCACGCGACGACAATCACGAGACAATCATCACGTGACAACCATCACGAGGCAATCATCATAATGTGACACGTCAATTAAACTTTCATATTACCGTTAGGATGAACCGTTATTGATGGCATTGAATGCATGCTGGGTTCAGCTATATATTTAGCATCAACAGGAATATCCCTAAAAAACGAACATCACATTAACATTAACATGAAGTATTTGCTAAATAGTTACACATTCATCAATAGTTACACATTCATCATACCATTCCCAAATCCGTACACTTTTATCGTCAGACGTGCTCACAAACTTTCTATTTTGGTCAACAAACGCAATCTGATTGACTGCACCCAAATGCCTTAAATGATAAAATCATTATTACTATTGATATTTTATCCACTACAGATTAAACTCCCGCTAGGAACTTATGAAGTCACAGTCTTAGGAACATATGACGTCACGACCTTAACAACCTATGACGTCATGATCCTGGAACCTATGACGTTACGATCTTAAACATTCGCAACTGAAGGCACAAAGAGTTAAGTTTAATGAGCTAGTTTAGATGCTCTCTAAAAGACCTTTAACGTGGGTCTGCTCCCCCCATCGGGAGGTTGAAACTCAGGAAAGACCTGCCCCTCCTCCATCAGGGAGTAGGAACCTTGATGCATTTGTACACCGTAGTATTAATATTATAAAATATAGCGATAATACCTGTCATATTCTTGAATAATTTCATTAGATCTTGTATCCCACTAAAAAACGATATTTTATTTCGAAGAAATTTGATTCATATAAATGTTATTCATAAAATCAATAAAATATCATTGATATCAAAATACCGTCAATATTTTCTTGTCAGATGTACCACAAACAAACAAATGTTGTTTATCCTAAACACGACATTATTGTCAATGTTTGATTAAATTAACAAATAGCCACCCCTGGAATTCTTTTAACTTCTCTTAAACAATTCAGAAAGTTTTTTGACCCCTCCTGTTAGCGTCAGTTTTAATGTTAAGGCAGTGTTGTGCGCCGTAGTCACAAATATTTAACCACTACCCACCCCCACCCCCCGTCAAAAATGAAAATTTATGCTTCTTCCGTTACGCAAACAATATTTACAAATATTTACAAACTGAGCTATAAAAATGACGTACGTACCTCATCTGGATTGAACTTCACACAATATGGCACCTTCCTGTTGGTGAATCTTCCTAAACATTGACCTGCACATAAAAAGAACGAGAAAATTCTGTATTTTCTTAAACATGAACACATACACAACAATAAAAAAATAAAAATAAAACAAACCTGTTTCCGTATCCCACATTTTACAGTATCTGTCGTAAGCTGCACTTAAAAATGAAGTTCCGTCGTTGTTAAAGCATATATCACGAACAGCTTTATTGTGGCCTAGAAACGATACAATAAAACAGAAATGGTTTTTTATGTATGGATTAAAATCATAAATCACTGTTATAAGAAAAACGAAACAACGACATAACTTTGCAGGAGACAAATAAATCGCATCTTTGTCTTTTCACTTTACTTTCATTTTACGGGGCGGGTGGCTGAATGGTTAATTGCGTGAGCTGTAAGCCAGACGGCGCAGGTTCAATCCCGGCTAGTGACACATCTTGCAATGTGTCTGTAAACCTAGCTCGGGTTGACCAAAGCCATGTGAGGGAAATTTGGTAGAGGAAACTATGTCCTCGGATGGACTGTATCTGCATCTGCAATGTTGCAGCCTTGTCACACTGTGTCACGCTGATATCAGCGTTGTAGTTGCGTGAAGGGTACAAGTGATTGTAGTCTGGTCAGCTGCCTTCACTATAATTTCAGTAACCAGGATGTTCCACTTCGTGGAACACTCATACGTCGAAATCAACGGAGTCCATTATTATTATATATATTATATATAATTTAAAAATTAAGAAATTTATATTCAAGACTTACTAACTCACCGTTAAATGTTCGCACAACTCTTCTGTTATTGTAAACCTCCCATAGCTAAAAAATGAAATAAAAATTCATCATGAAAAGAAAAAGTATGTTTATAGCAGTGCGGTGTTTGAAATTAAATGTAGATATGTTCTTCGCACTTTGTTGGACGATTTAAGCAATTGTCTCATAATCCCGTTAAGTCACCTGAATTTTTCAGGTTCATGAGACAATTGCTTAAATTGTCCAACAAAGTGCGAAGATCATATCTACATTTAATTTAAAAGAAAAAGTATTGATGTGTTCATAAAAGAAATCAATCATTACAAACGAACGATCATGCATGTGAAGGAAAAATTGGTTTCAACAATATGAATAAAATTTATGTTAAAAATGAAAAATTAGTGCACTCCTTGCGTTCACTAAACCACTTGAACAACGACATGTAAGACAGAGAAAATGACTTTTTACCTTAATTTTACAATCCATGCTACACGACAGGAGAAGATGAGCAGATTTCGGAAAGAATCTTATTGCAGAAACACCTTTAGTGTGACCAGACCTAAGAGAAAGATAAAATAATACAATAATAGATAAGTAAGAATATCTCCATTGCTTTCTTTTATCATGACGGTAGAAGGATGAACTACAGGAAAACAAATACTTAAATGTTATTAAAAAGTGCTGTATAAAGTGAATATTTGCATCAGGAAGTATCGTTACGTTTTTGTCGAGGTTAGTAGAGTCCTGTGAAGGACTGTTGGTGTTGATGTTGACTGACGTTTCGACAACCTTAGCAGTAGTCATCTTCAGAGTCCAATGATAAGTAAATGTCAGGTTAGCCGTGTTTCTTAAAACAAGTGCTAAGGAAGTCCAATACAACATCTACAAACATACGTACGTAGTACTAGAACAAATCATTACTTTATAATAAATAATACACTGATAAATATGATTTTATAAACATATCAAATGATCACCTAAACGTCTTGAATTAAACATAAGCATCATATTAAAAAAACGCTCATATTTTAAGTTTATATTTGGATGAGACGCTTTCTCTAATGAATACTGTAATGTATAATTGAACTTCCTCAATACCATCAAGAATTATATCATAAACTGTCTTTAAACTTAATTCAATTATTGCGTGTTTTCCTTATAATCTACAAAATTTAAAGCATATTGATGACTCGAAGTCTGACGGTCCATGGCATTTCTAATTACACTTTAGTAAGTAAACTTGAAAAAAATTCTTCCATTTTTGTTTTACAGTAAAGTAACAGAAAACAAACAAAAGCAAGAACAACTAAAATTCAATAGCGTGTTTAACGTCATTTCTGGTATTTTAACTTCCATTTTTTGATTTTGAATAAATGAACTAAATGGAGAATTGTTTACATACCACGTATGAATATGTTGCTTTGGTAGAAAGCAACGTTCTGGAGGAGTATCTGACTTGAGATTAATGCCAAGATCTTGAGGAATGTGAAGATATGATCTTCCTTGATAGTCATATGCATCTTTAACTGAAAAATAATTACATTTGGTAAAGTTTAGGAAACTACAAGAAAGTATGAAAGTTTTAACTTACTGTGTAATGTGGATTTCTCTTCTGAAGGTTTCATATCATCTTTCTTTGATTTGTTTTTCTTCGATAATTCATACTCCTCAAGTATTGTTGACTCTTCCTGTATTCACCAAGGTAAAACGCCAGAAAATAATTGTTTGATTTGAAAAATATCTTTATAAAACTCTTTATTTGGGTAGTTGAAATACCTCAGATGGTTTAGCAATAGTTTCTTCATCAACAAACTTACTCCATGGTCCTATAGGATAACAGAAAATAAGAAATAGTAGGACAACCTTTCAAAAGTTATGATTATTGTAGTAATCGTACCCTTGTATCCATCAATCACACCAGGATCTCCCTTATCCTCTCTCTTCCTCTTATCTCCCGCCCGCTGTTTTGTAGCTTCAAACACAGTCAATCCCTTGCTATCCTTTGCTTTCTCAACATCCCCAACAAATCTTAATGGATAACAATTGATATAAACATAAAACATTACCAAGCCTATTTACTAATAATTAAGAGCCATGTACTACATTATGTTTTTAAGGTAATTTCATGACAAAGCACATTCATCATATTCCACTCAAATAAACATTTATCAGCTTGAATCATTTCAAAGTAATTGAGTGATATAAAACTTCAGCATTATTCTATTTCAGACTTGATGCATTCACTGAGGAACACGTTTGATGTAGGAGTGTTTAATACCCTCTACATATTGTGAATTATGTATAAAAAGTTAGTCCGGAAACTAATAAAGGATGAAAAACTTGGTTTGTATTGGGTTTTAGTATCAATCTACACTACAATAAATCATCCCCACAATGTAAAACACATAAATTTTTGGAGAGATGTGCGTTCCGGCACTATCATGACTATCGTTGAAGATGTATGCTATATCAAAGTTATGTTATAAGCACATTGTAACAATATTATATACATATATTGTAACTAACTTCTCTTCAATGTGAGCTGTGTCATCACTTGGATCTAATGCATAACCTGTGATTTATTAAAACAAAACATCACACATAACTCATTAACAAATACATTTTTCTCAAACTATGCTTGCTTTTGCTCTTACCGTAACTTGAGAATGTTTTTAGTTGATTATCAAATTGAAATTTACTGATATGAGCTGGCTCAACATAGCCAGACAACATATTTTTATGTGCTCTTTGCTGCTTCGTTTTAAATGGATTTTGTGGTCCAACCTAAAATAGTAGACTTCTTCAAAATCATGATTTTGTCCATGCGCATGTAAATGGTGACAATGATTAAATTATTAACGTACCGAAGCAGAAAAGAGTTCGTCATACTTTGCATTAAATGTAACTTCTTTCATTGAAGGATCGATGTGTCTTCTCCAATCTATTCCTTCCTTTAAAACATAGCAAATCGTATCATAGATTTAGCCTTGGTCTTGGTAGTTGCCTAGTTAGGACTTTGGACAAAAACTATTACACTTTACCTTAGCATCAACAATTGGCGCGCTGTTTAAAAGAAACTTAGATTTTAGAGCATCCATATTGACAGTGCTTTCGATTGACTTTTCAACTTCTTTAGATTTATCATTATCACTTCTCTCTTCATCAGAAGAATCACTTTGATAAGACACTAACGATTTGGGAAGAACGTCCATGTTTTTGATAATAGAGTATAACCACACACAGCCCCATATATCCCCATATATCCAATATCCACACATATCACCAGCATTTGGTGTCGTCTCTCCCCTCCCTAGAGGATATTTTTTTATTTTATCCAATACGTACTCTTTTTATCCGTCCTGCCCACTTGTCTTGCCTCTGAAAATGTACATTAATAGATGTACATTAACAAAAACAGAAGTACATTAACACGAAAGAAGTACACGAACACAAATCGAAATACACTGACGCCAGTCCATATTCTGCTTATTTTAACACAGACCAAACAATAAGTAGACAGTTTACATAACAATTGCTGGCGGTTTAATATTCCGAACTTACATTCTCAAGATGGAAGAAGCAATATAGCATTACTTTAATAGGAATTATCAAAACAAAACTACAAGCACTCTTATACGTTGCAATACTGTTGAGGAAGTGATGAAAAATCCTATATGGTTGTTACCAAAAAAAATATCCAGACTGAATGCTAAACTAAAGCAGGTATTTATACTTTCTACATAATACAATTAATGAACCAATCATTTGGTGAAATAAATGGTTTCCACAGTATATTATGGATTTCACCACAAACAACAAATACAATATTAGCAATGTCACTAGTAAAAGTTATTTAGTAATTAGCTTGCTTAGTCAGAAATTTTCAGATAAATCATCTGCGCATGCGCAGTTGACTTGACCAGGTGCCCAAATTCATGGTCATGGCAACAACCAACTGAAGTGAATAGCATGCTTAGTAACAATTTAAGAGAAAAATCATCTGCGCATGGGCATAGAGCATGCGCACTACATTCGACTAATTCTTTATAGTCATGGCAGCAACTAACTTTATGTACTTGCACTACATTTGTAGCAATTAGTTCACTTAGTCGCAAATTATCAAAGAAATAATCTGGGCATGCGCAGTAATGACTTTAATAATACCACAACTTTCGTAAGCCTCTAAATTTTTGTACATATATAAAGTAAATAAGTTATATAATAGATGTCAACTAGCAGTGAAGGTTGGGTGCGATTAGTTATGCAGTGGCTTAGGCCACACTTCGGTGGCGACCGCACTCTCCCTGCGTACCCCGAGCAAAGCCTATCGCAGGTGATCTCGGGGTCTGATAGGCGGAAGCTTGCTATTGGCATCTCCCAAGTAGGATAGCGTGGAGGGGCCGAAATCTCCTACCGAAACGTTAACATGCGGCGTTCTAGTGCCTTACGCTTAAGAAGGTAGCATGGACCAAAAACGATGTTTTTTGCTTTCGAATTTTAACTTTTTGTCTCATAAAAGGACCTAGAACATCCAAGTATATTGCAAACGTTCAAAAACTTTTGCCTTTTTGACTCATTATCTAAATCAACTGTAAACTGTTTACACGTTTTATACTTGTTACCTTTTACAATGTAACTTTCTCACAACTCTCTCGCAATGAACGAGAGACTCCTTATACAATATTACTCTCTCATCATAAAAATAAGCATCCATGGGCTTTATGGAAAAAGGATTATCTACGTTTTTATCATAGTTTAAATAAAAATAAGATTAATTAATAAGCCAAGCAATTTGTATGTCTAAAGTGAATCTTGCTTTCAACCCTTATGTTTTAGAATTTTGATTCATTTTGGATAGTGAATTTCCTTTTCTCTTACAACAGTTTCATGATTCAATCTATAAAGTAACTTCCTTGTCAAGTAATTTTGATATTAAATGGTACACTTTTCAGATTTAAACGAATTCTTTTGATCGCCCAGAGACAGCTGTCGAATTTATTATGTACTTAATAAAGCATTTCCAAATCACGTACAAAAAAAATACAGACTGAATGCTAAACTAAAGCAGGTATTTATGCTTTCTACATAATACAATTAACTAACCAATAAGCTGGTAAATAATTTTTTTATTTTTTTTTAAATATAAAAATGTTAACTAAAATCAATGGTTAAAATATCCATGATAGTTTTCAAATTACTAGCTTGAAAAAGAAGAAGAAAGAAAAAGAAAAGAAAAGGGAAAGTCAGGTGTAAAGACGACTTTCTCAATAACCTAGGTCAATATTTAAAGTATGTTCGCGAGTTGAGGCAGATCGACTTCCTCGTATCGCAGTAATTGCTGACCTAATCAGTGCGAAAGACAGTTTACAACGCATCCACGCTAGCGTGATGCCATATTGCAGCTTTCTCTTTTGTTCCAGCAGATCAGCTAGCCGTTTATAAGCAATTGCCGTCTCTTTCCCCATGCCACCTGATGTTGAAAAGACCAGTGGTGTAAAAACAGCATATTCAATCTCTCTTACTCGATCACCATATTCCCTTTTCTTAGCCATCTCATGCTGACGGTAGAGTGCAGGTAGATTGGTGTTTTGGTAGCTCGACGCGTTTCGGGGAAATACCCTTACATCAAAAAATGCATCTTGCTGTCTAGACCAAAAAACGTTAGCACGAATATCTAGCCTCGCTTCTTCTTGTGTATTGGCTGTACGAGGTAATATCACTTCCCCAGAAGCTGGTAAATAATTGTTTCAACTGTATATAATGGATTTCCCCACAAGCAACAAATACAATATTGGAATGTCATATTAAATTTAGATGCTAAGATAGGACTTTAACGTCCCCACTAGTTAATATGAAATCAGAAGAATGTTACTGTGAAGAAGTTTAATAAATTTGGTAAAGTAGTTTTCACGTCAAGTGCTCGTTGTCATTTTGTGGAGATGCATCAAGCATTTTAATGACTCTCTTCAGTGTGGGCTTTCTTTCATCGTAAGACAAAAAATCTATGCGATATTCTAGAATTCTGCACTTTCAATCTTCAAAGATCGCATTATCAGATTCCATCCGTTGCAATCACGTGGTAGAATATTGGATTCCAGGGTTAGAAAATTACTTGATCATATAACTAAATGGCATTTTCAAATCTTGAAAAAGTTTGACGTAAAATAATATTAAATATATAATTTTATTTTGACTATGTTGATTAAATCTACTTCATTCAGTAGCTAAATAATTGCAGGCTACCAACATGTATGAATTGCGTGCCAATTTTTTTAAATGTATGCCATTGTATTTAATAAACGCAGTGTTTTGGGAGATGTACCCAAAAGCCAAGAAATGAAAAGAAACGTGAATATTCATGAAAACTGCGATAAATAATGTTATGACAAACAAAACGCCTTCACTTGGCCCCAAATGTGGACACTGTTTTTTTTCTAAACCAAAACACGAAATGGGAGGGAAAACCGGCAGATCCGGTAAAAAACCCTCCAATAAAAAAAAAATAAAAAAGTTCGAAGAACTGCCTCAAATTTTTATAGTGTTTTATGATGTTTTATATTTTTGTTGTTTTCAATGATCCCGATGATCTACTTTAACATGCAGCGTAGTCAGATCGTGCGTCTTATACAGTCGTATAAAAAATTTAAATTTACGGAACACTAAAAATGTGGGCTGACTACCCTATTGACACAGCAAATATTTTTTGTTCGTACAAAAGAAACATAAACTTTTGTAAAGCACAAAAAATGAAATAGTGCAAAGTGTTAACAAAAATTGTAATCAATAGACGAAAAACGAAAACTAATAGCAGCCATATATAAATCATGTATAAAAATTATTCAGTACGTAGGGACCTGACCATTCACCTGCCAATAAAAATTAAAAATTAAACGACTAAAGAGACGTTATGATTTGCATAAAAACAATTTTTGATGTCTGCTAGACTTTATTTCATTGAGATTTTCTATGTTGCCTGATTAATTAATAGCTGGCTTTCACTCGTGTGTTTAGTCAGAAAATTTAACAATTGTGAACATTTAGTTATTCGGAAATTTTTAACGGTCGAATTTGAAAATACGTTATACTGATAGACATTATGGATAACTAAATTAGCAATTGTGAATCTTATAATAACGACGCTTGTTTCTTGGTGTTTCTGCCCAACTTCGTTGTTCATTCATTGTCCAGTTAGAAGGCCTACAGACATAGCTACTCTACAAAAAACACGTTATAAATATCAGCATAATGAAGGAACAAAAACAGAAATTAAATCTATTGAAAGAACAAAACTTTAATACCTGATTTCCAAGGGTTGTCCTGGTCAGTTTGATCCAGGCGACTTGTTCGGTCTCTTCCTTTTTTTCACCGCGTAGTTTTTACGTTGTATCGTTGAAATTAATTGTAAAATTTTTATCTTAGTAATTCAATGAACCCTACTTGCATCATTGCAATTTTCTTAATAAACGTTAAATAAAATTACTAAAAAGTAGCGAGTGAAAGCCAGCTATTTTCTCACAGCAAGTGACATCTTTTATTGACACTTTTTTTAAGTTGGGTGTTTTTCATGGTTAAGTTTCAAATTATAAAAATAGACCATCAGGATCCTTTTCAACTATCTCATGCAGTTACTCATAAAAGTTAATTTTAGCACTTGTAACTACTCAACTTACAAACCACAAGATATAGATTGTGTTTTTCCACTCGCTTGTTTTCCATCTTCGTAGAATGTAGTCCATTTTTATAGTGCAATCACTTTAATGTAATTGTTCATACGTACATATGCCGTTATGCGATGTCCATTCAACATGTCGATACCATTCCATACACGAAGTAAGGAGCATCATCAACCAATAAAGAAGCTACTGATATGATGAATCGCCATTTCGATAGACTACAATTCACAATGCACTGTTATGGTAACTTCAAGCGAAGGAAAAGGGACCGCCCTTCAATACCCTAGTTTTGTCATTAATCAAAGAATGCTTAGTGCAGAGTTGATCTTCTGTGAGTATCAGTTGACCACCTGTAGGTTGGTTCATATAACAATGGGGCCCATCATCATTATATGAACAAACAACTGACATCAACAAAGAATCCAAACTACAAATGAACATTCTTGGCCATGAATCACCATGACATATGAGTAATGACAAACTAGTAAGAGTAATTGAAGTGAATGACACAGGGGGTAAAGGGACTTTCTCAACTCCATT